ACTCTTCAAGTCGATGGTTAATAGATATAATTTATATAAACGTGCTTCATTTTAGTATTACCATTCATTTCATTTCAGCCATTATCCGTTCATTGCTGGACATAAGCCTTCCCCGTAGACTGCCATCAAGAATGGTTCAGTGTCACCTGCATCCACTGACTACCTGAAATGCATTTCAGGTCGTCTCTCCATCTAGTGGGGAGTCGTCCTACACTGCGTTTGCCCGTATGCGGTCACCACTCATCCCTATCGGTTGTCGGTTCATCGAGCTATGTGACGAGTATTATCGTTACTGACCAAGAATATAAAATGTTCGTGTATAACGTAGATACTATATAGGCCTCTCGTTTTCTCGGAATGTCTGTTAAATATGGTTCTCTTTGTAAAATTAACTAGATATATTGTTTTGTTTAGCATGAGATCCCTTTACAATGCCTTACATACAAGTTATTTTAAGAGATCCATTGATACATTGTATTTGTTCATGCACCATAAAAACTTACCAGTAAAGGCCATAAATTGTAGCTACTGACATGAAAAGGGGCGACCAAGTCTTTAGATATTCTAGTAACTATAAAACGTATCGCTCTCTCTGGGTAGTCTTTTATTTGTATGCCTCTAGCAAATTATAGACTTCACAGGTTTCATGAGTCGTAAGAACTGAGCGACTCATCGATGTCTACAGTTCAGCCGCCAGTTTACGATGTTATGACTGGAAATTTAGCACGCTGTACGCGAGGAATGGCGAGGATCGATGTTTTGTTATCGTGCGCTCTTAAACAACGCCATGTGTGTTGTATATAGTGTATACACAGCCAGACAAAGATTATTGAGATAAAATTTTACGATGTTACTATTACGAATACAGTAACTGTGACACCAAATTGCAACCGTTTATGTGCAGCGTGTCGTGGGCAGAACAAGAAGCAATAAAACATTAATCAGTCAAATGTCAACGTGGGACCCAGCGTTATGAGAACTACGCCGAAGATTGTACGGTACGTTTTGTTTTGTGACTGTTACACAATACAATAGTGGTAATAAGTGTAATGTGTTGTTATATCATTGTTTATTATTAACTTCGATACTTTTATGACGCGGTGACGGGAAAACCGCGAACATAATAGTTCTAGTTGCGGTAAAAGTGTTAAAATGCAAAATATGACAAACAGGTACTAAGACTAACGACTGCCGGTAACGGTAACGAGAAACGTACTCGTATGTTTATTGTTTCCGAAAATGAACTCTTAGCAGTACATGATGTAATGTCGTATGTTAATAAACAGGTAAATGTTAATTAGGTAGAATATAAATATGGATTATTTAAAATTACCGACTTTTGAGGAAATATTGAAGTACTTATTATCGTTGATATATTTTCGAAAATATTTCTAATTTCGTTCAGTTCATACCTACATCCTAATTATCTACGTTGGTAACATCTTGTCATCAAAATATTGATATTAGCTATTGCCTGCGACTTCATAAGAATGGTTTTTGAACATAGATGGATAATTACTAACATACTTAAGATAAAACATACATCACATTTTAAGCTATACTTTCAGAAATGCAGCGAGCATTTAATATAGTGCAGTTTTTGCGTACTGTTGGAACAAATATACAGACATACGAAATAAAAAAAATTGCTTTGTCTTCTATCACTTTAATTAAGACTCCGTATATAAAATACGCATATATCCTTCATACGCTTTCTGTTTTTACCTAATGGTTAATTGGTAGTGAATGCCATATGGCATTTAGCTCACCATTTGTACAAAGTTTTATTGTTCAATAAAAGATAAATAAATAAAAATTTCTTTAATATATTTTATGTACAAACGTAGTTTATTTATAATGTTATTATTGGTATTATCGTATTAACAAGATAAATGTTTCAAATTCAACATTTTTGTCATTTATCGACCTACGTTTTTGTAGTAAAAATGTTCAGTTTCGTTAGTAGAATACTTCCCTCAAAAGGTTCTAATGGTTTCGATTATACCATTTACTTTGCATACTGTATTTTACGCATGAGGGATATTATTAGCGTCATAGTGAATCTTATAGAACTTTTAAAACGGCGAGCACAAAGATCATAGAAAGGTTTCAGTGTCACAGGTTTTTCTGCCTGATAAAGCCCGTCTCTCAATAATAAAAATCTTTTATGTGCTCATGGTACTTTTGACTTCTATAGGCGACGGTCGTCACCTTCTATTATAGGAACTAGCAGCTTATAATTTTTCATTCTAAGTTGTCATTTAAAGAAGTATGAAAATATATTATAAAATCCTTAATGTGTTCAAAAATGGAGTTATAAACTTTCAAGGTATTTATATATTGAAATCGTGCTATTATGAGGTGACGAAACCAACAGCCCTCAACGCCTCTGCTTTTATTATCCGCGATTACCTTCTAATAAAGTATGATATATTACTCGTAGTACATGCAAATGTGTGTAACGTGCGTATGTGGTAGGTACATGGAGAAAACGACGGCGAACTTATCCAAATGTTATATAAATAGCAGTACGGGAGACGTGGGCTGCGGTGGCGGTGTGAGTCGCAACTCGCGACCCGGTTACACGCAAATGCCTTCATAGGGTTATCACAAACTAGCTTTACATTTCCACAATACTTATTTACATAAAACTACCACTTGTAGAGTTCTAATTACAAATTGATTAGAAAAATGTAACCACCGCAATAACTCGATCCGATAGTTTGAGTCTGACTGGCATTTCAATATTCCTATTATAATTATAAATACGATAACCGCTTACAATTAGGTGAGTCGTATGTTTGTTTGCCATCCCAGTGGTATATAAGAAAAATTAAATATTCGTGCAAATTTAAATTACGAAATAACATCATTGATGGAAAACACTGCTAACAAACTAAATTAATATGAGTGTTCATCTTCTGACATGCTATTTGCATTTATGATTTAAAAATATTAGACATGTCGAGTGTTGAATTTACTATAACAGAAACAGTCGAACAAATGGCTGATTACCGTATCAGGTAACCCTAATGGCGTAATCAGCCATTAGATAGATATCCATTAGATAGGGTAGATAATTAAAATACTATGGCCAGTTCAGTGCATAGGTATTTAGATTATCTTAATTACGAATAAGGAGGTATTAGAACTTAATACGATAACAACCCTATTTAGTATGTGCATGATAGGTAGGTGACAGTTGACGAATGTCCTGTGGCTAGCATGCAAATACAATATATTTTTTACTGACCAAAATTGTGGTAGATAAGGGTGTAAAAGCTGACAACCCTATGTAAATATGTGTGACTGACCCTGTGATAATATCCTGCGGCTAGTGTAACTGGTGGTCACTGGGCTCTGCTGTACACTAACGCAATACGAGTTGTTATCGATAAAAATACTTTCTGTCTTATTTATTATTATTTTTTTATTTTGAATTAGACATACCAACAGTATACATATTATACATAAATTGAATAACATTAGTGATAATAATATATAATATTATTTCTTTAATATTTGTTAATAACGGATAACAGAATTTCCTTATTATACCTATATATTGGTTTCGTTATTTGTTTATGTAATTAATTATTACCAATGCAGTGCATTTCGTATATAGCACAGCGGTCGTTTTTCTTACAAAATGAACCTCGCGTTGTCTGCACTGTAATTTACAAGCATCTACCTATTACTTTACTACTATTTCGTATCATTTTAGTTTATTATGTTACAGCATTGCTTTACCTGAGGAATACTGATAATCACCGTTTGCCAGATTGTTTCTATATTCATAGATAAAGATTTTTTTTATACAACTTAGAATGGTAAACAAGCTGACGGCCCACCTGATGGAAAGTGGTAACCGTCGCCTATAGACATGAGCAGTACCATGGACATAATAGAGTATACTGTTTCGCCCATGATACCCCCCATGCGTTGCCATTCCTGAGGACTCAGGTGTTATTCTTCTATACCCTGAAAATTCACGCCATATCCCACCCTTCAAACCGAAACACAGGCATGCAAACACAACTGCTTCACGGTAGAAACACGAATGGGACAGAGGTACCCAAGCAATCGACTTTTGTACAAAGTCTCCCTCTGGTAGTGGGTGAATGTCTCCCTATCAGGCCAGATCAGGAAGGGGTTGTTAATAACAGGGCATAATGGTTCCATTTATAGCATTATACCTTGTCAGATCTATATCCACGCAGCACTGCTAAAAACCACCGTAGTTAATTCTTAATAAATTTGCAGCGATAGGCGAACTGTCCTGACTTCATCCTCATTGTTACCTTCTCCACTAGTGCCCCGCCATTATATACTATTAACATAAGTGAGTGCACCATACCATCTTCATCCATTAAAACCAACCAACTGTTTTCAGATTTTGTTCCAACCAAATTTTTTTTGAACGAATTAAACGCTCATCGTTTTATAATTTAAGTATTAACAACATCATAACACTTTTGCGATTCTTTGTGCGAGGGAATGAGAACCAGCTCTTTTTCTCTTTCTCAGAACGGAATATAAGATCAAATGCATGAGAAATATATAATAGAAATATAAATCGATATAGCACTGATATATCGATTTATATTTCTCATGTATTTTATCATGTTGTTTGGTAAGCTATAAGTGGCGCGAGAGTTCTTTTCTCTGAGAGTTAAACATGAGCATCAAATTAAATATCATGGCCGATATCGAAATTACTCAACAGGCTTAGGATTCAAGTATAACGTATCAAGAATAATACGAATATGTAGAGGAAGAGACTCCTAGTTGTGTCGTCCTAAACTCTACCTATGGTGGAGTGGACAGGCAAATCATGACTCATTTATTTTTTGTCATCTGTTTTTTACAGGAAGCCTAGAAAATGAAACAATTATAATTATGTTCCTGACATCTACCCTTTAAGAAAAAGAATAGAAGAGGTGTAATAGAAAAAGTAGAAATACTTCTTGCGAAAGAGGTAATTTAAAAAAAAAAAGATATTGTGATCAGAATATTGAATATTTAAATTTTATTTTTAAAGTATTAGCTTACATTATTGGTTACCTTTATAATTTATAGTCAGATCTTTGATTTCATTTTAAAAATAATTGTTTGTATAATTATATTCTTTTTACCAAATATTATAAATGTTTATAAAATTTTTGACATAAAAAATAAAATTGGACCCATGTGAAGGGGTTTCTAAGACGTTGGCAGCATTACCTTGTTGGATGGCTAGACTGAGCCATTTAAACGAAGAATGAACTAATTCTCTAGATTATGAACCGATGGGGGAGAAAAGATCTTGAGGGGCGATTCCGGACGGGCACACGCAGTGTAAGATGCTCCCCTCCTCAATAGTTAAAGTGACGACCTTAAATGCATTACAGGAAGTTAGTGGATGCAGATGGTTCAGGACCTTTCCTTACATTCTTATATGACAATCTATGGGAAGCCTATGTGCAACAGTAGACAGATAATGACTGAGATGATGATGATATATATTTTAATGTTTAGGATGTGTAATGAAGTCGATGTATCAAAACAAATGGAGTCTTATTTTTTAACGACAAGCTCTTCTAAAAAACAAGCGACACTCCGTCAGGTCTCTTGCCATCATTACGTACTAAACATATATTCGACTCTAGAACCGCCGTTACGTCAGGCATGGTAGAGAGATAGAGACAGAGTATTATTTATAATAATATAAGAATCTCTTATATTTTTTCTATTCTAGGTAATCAGTAGAGTACCTTTTATTTAACATATGTCAAATTTACATCAAGCAGCATTATTCCATATACAATAGGACCATAGATACTATCTTTAATGTATCTATAAAACAGTCAATATGTGTTAGCACTATTTCCCCTCATAGCTACACTCATTCTCCTGGCGGGCGGTGGGAGCGGTCGATTGACGTTTGGATGTCGTGTTCTCGTTGGTCGTGGAGGCAAACGGGAGTCTGTGCTGGCACGCGCTCGAAACTCTTCGGTATCTTCAGATTTTCCGGATGATGATGTAGAGTTACTTCTAGTCACACTGATTTCATCTTCTTCTTCAAGGTCCATTTCTGTCCAGCGATTACCTGCAAATTATTTTTAAAACAAATAGATGATTGACAGATGAGACACAATTCCATTAAGATAAATTCTATTCCATTTGACTAAAGAAGACTTAAAAAATCATTATCATCATCATCATCATCATCATATCACCCGTTAACTGCCCATTGATGAACATAGATTTCCCCATAAAGGGGGGTTTGCCAGTAGTTGCCAGTTTGGCAGGCAGGTTGGCAACCGCAATTAGCCTTTGGTGATGTTTTAAGAGGGATCCTGCTGGCCATTCCTCGACCATCTAGTTCCCTTAGTCGCCTCTTAGGACACCTAAGGGAAAAGAAGGGGTGGCCATTCTATGTCGGGACTACACGGCAAATGTTAAAAAAATATAGAGCTCTCATTCGTAAACCTATTTTTATTTTGCAATTGTAAGACCCCCTCTCGCGAACACAGATTCATGATTAGGGTTCTTAAAGAAGGTATAAAAAAGTTTTTTTTTTCAGGATTCAGAAGGCATACGCTGTTTTAGTTTAATCCATATATATACGTACTATGGCATCGGTTAATGTTGTATGCTTGATTGCAAGTATACTTAATTTGTGTGTAAACTTACTTGTGAGCGTTTACCCTACCGATATTGTATTTGATTACATTTATATATTTTGTGTATCTATATTTGAACATATTGTGAATGGCATATTATTGAGCATGTGTTTTGGTTGTGTATTTGAATGGAAGATGTGAGAATTGAATAGTAACTCCGTCTGCCCTATTGTCATCCGCTGGCAGGGTACCAATGAGACATGATAGGAGACGATGAAAGGAGGTCAGTTAGCTCATTGTGATGAATTGTATAAGAATTGACCACGATGGTTTTCAAAGGGAGTGACTGTGTGGAGTTGTCATGATAATGGGGCCTGTTAGAACCCGTTACTAGCAATCCTTTTTCCTCCTGTTTGTGTATTTGTCTCGATAAACATTTTTATCTACCAATATATGTAATACGTGACACACACACAGGAGATATATTTTGCAACATGTATTTTGGTGGCGGGGGGGGGGGGGAGGCATTGTTAATAATGGAGACTAAGGGCCCTACTGCTGACAATATACCTAACCAGGTCGACCTCCCCGTGGTCCCTCCTGGAAGCCATCATGCTGAATTCCATTATCTCTTATTAATGCCCCGCCAACGTATACCGTTAGCACAGGTGGGGTTACCATTCCATTATCATCCTATAAAAAAAAGAAACATGCATTTTGGTGGATATGAAACTGATGGGTGATAGATAGGCTGTGATCTAATGTTATGATACGTGACAATACTAACAAAATGCTCCAACTGGTGTCGTGATGGTTGCTGCAGTGTCTGTGGAGTCAGAGATAGTTCGTGCTAGCGTGCGACCCAGTGCTACCGGTGGCTGCCGCAAGTCAGTGCCAATACCAACGATGCTGGTATCACGGCACTCACGACCACGGGACCATTTGTTACTTACGCGCCAAAACCGACGCGCATCACTGAATACACTCCATACCTGAAATTTTTAATAATTTGTGTATTTATTACAGGTATCATGTACAAATATATCTATAAAAGCAATAGTATTTCTTCATTCGATGAATCTCTAATAAAGGCACAGCAGTTTATGTGCTTCGAATGACAGAATTGATAAAATTGATCGTCTCCTTCTCAAAGACAATAATTGAAATATAATACTATGCGTAACTAAATAATATGTATGAAATATTGAAATTCCTATAATTATTAATAAAATTATGATTCCAAAAATAAACAAGATTTTGTTCCCCAAAAAAAATCCGACTCCAATACTACTGAAGCAATTTTGATGTAAAAAAAATTGTGAAACAATTTTGAATGCATATCCTTAAAGAAATATTCAAATCGGTTTAGAAAAACGAAGTTCTAAGGTAATAATTATAAAAAAAAATCCAATTGAGTACCTCCATTCTTTTAAAGTCTATTCCTTTATTGAAACATAGGAGGAAAAAATAATTAAAGATAATGGAATCCCAGGGACAACTTCATAAAATATAAATTTATAACTCTAAAAAAAAAAACAAGTGAAATGTACATTACATAATTATTTTTTTTGTTAAATTTAATCAATAAATAAATATATTTAATAGATCGAATAATTTCTTAATCCATTTCATACTACATCATAGGATTATATCTTTCTCTTTGGATAATTTGCTTGTTTTGCAAAGATGAAACGAATGGGACGGAATATAGTTGAAAATTCTAACTAGACAGTGCCTGTACGGACGATATTTCAGATAAATGGATATGAAGGCTTTTAATAAAAACAATAGAAGCAAAACAATTGTTTTTGTGTCTATCTATCTGTATCACGCAAAAACAAATGCGTTAAGTTGGATGTAATAAATGACAGTTGTGATTCTGAAGGTCGAACTCAAAATCTATATAACATTATGTTAGATAAAGTTAACAATATTGTGGGAAATTCACCATGGGTAGGAAGGACTACGAGATTATGGTTAAAGATTATCTGTTAATCTTTATTACATAATATAATAATATTGATAATAATATTTATCTATATATATATATATATATATATATATATATTTTAGTATAATCAAGCTGAAGTGGCAATGGGCTGGTCACATAGCTCGAAGAACCGATAACCGATGGGGAAGAAAGGTTCTTGAGTGGCGACCGCGTACGGGCAAACGCAGTGTAAGACCCTCCACTAGATGGAGTTACTACCTGAAATGCATTGCAGGGAGTCACTGTATGCAGGTGGCTCAGGACCGTTCTTTATGGCAGTCTATAGGGGAGGCTTGTGTCCAGCAGTGGACGGATAATGACTGAAATGATGATGATGTTATATATTTTAGATAGGTAGCAATATTTACTAGGTTAGATTTTTAAGTATAAAAGATTATATTAATTGGAATAATAATAGATAATAAAAATAATTATATCAATACCACAGATATCAATACACTATTATATCAGTAGAGTTATTATTAGAGACCATGTTGGCATTGAAAGACGAAACAAATGATGCGATAGTACAGAAGCGCCGAATTATTTTTCAAAGTATCGCAGTGTATCTTTAAACTTTCTGTCATAAACTAGACAAATAATATTTTTTTGAAAGAAGGAAGTATCAATCTTGTAATATTCATTACTCTTTCGTAAAGGCCTACACTGATATATTATGTGGAGTCACGTCCACCATTTTTTTAACCTAAAACATTTTTAAAAATTATTTATAGGACTATTTAAGTAGGCCACGGAGAGTCAAACTCAGAAATTTATGTTTAGAGAGAATAAATAAACAGACATTGATATTACAGTGATGATGAAATTACCTTCGTGTGTACGTAATGGCTACATTTATATTCATGGACTTAAGTACGACATAGAAATCACGTTTTAAAAAACGTAATATTCAACAATATGAAATGAAATATTTTACAAACCTGGTCAATGCTTTCCCTCACAGAAATTTCATGAAAGCAGACACAGCCTATCTCTTTGCTTCTCCTTTGACCTTCTTCCGTTGAGACCATTCTGTCGCCAATCTGATCAGCTTTGTTGGCTACCAACACCACTGGTGTCTCTGGAAGACTATCCTATAATAATCAATAATAATTATAAATATACATGCTATAACTAGTATATGGAAAATTTGTCTATTGGTAAGAAAAATACTAAGAACATTATAATATATTATATTATATTAACATTTTAATAAAGCTGGTATTTTGGCGCATGTAAAAGTAAAATTTTAAAATGAACGGTTTATTTAGTAATTTGTTGTTTACATTGTCTCTCCTGCACCCCTCACCTCCGTGCCTCGCTTACTGTTCTCGCACGACCATCAGCGGCGACGCGTGTACCGGCTTATCGTTTTTTTTTCACATTATCATTTGACCAACTATATTAATTAACATGCACTAAAAAGTAAACATTATCGCCATGAAATTTCCATTTTGATTCAGCTATTTCTTTTTATAAGAATTTGTCAAGAATATGTGAAAACTGTATCCAAACTTAATCTTATAAAATCTATTTTACTTTCAAGATAAAAAAAATTACTTTTTGTGTGAGATATTAAAATTAGTATATGGTATCGTGGGTCGTAAAGCTAAAAGTAATTAATATTTTTGCTATAGATTTTATTCCTTTTTTTCAAACCTTTCAAGCAGCGTATGCTATATTATTTATGCAGACTTTAATTACATTTATTGTAATTAATTATTGCAAATATATATTTACCAAAATAAAAAACAGTTGATAGTACTCAGAGATAATATAAATTTCTAATAGTGAAAGAATTTTTAAAGTCGGATCTGTAGTACCGGAGATTACACTGAACATCCAAATTTACAAACTTTACCTCTTTGTAATATTAAATAATTAATCATAATAAATATTAATAATGAATATATATTTTTTTATTAGTATAGATATCTAGTAGTTTTATGTTTCCTGAAGCTTATTATAGCGAAAATCACTAACGTCTTCTTGTCTTTCACTCAATCTGTTATACTCATATTTTTACAGCTGAACCGCTAGATGAAAATTGGCACAGATATATAAAAACCTAGGTATCATATTAGCGTATTTAAGAATATTTTCCTGTGAGGGTTTAAAAAAGGCGCATAAAGATGTATTTTTAGTCATGTCTTTGCATATACCTAGTTAAAAACTTCGCTTGCATATTCAGGTGGTCACTAGATAGTTACGCTATGCTTATAGGTATCAGCCTCCGTTAACATGTGGCAAATGAATACTTTGATAGACATGTTTTCATTATATTTTAATGTACTAACTACTGGTTTCGTGATCAATTCGTGATCCTTAGTCAGGTTCGCGCTTGCGTCATAGTTGCTCATGAAATGTGCTTACGAAAGTTTAAACAATGTTTTATGGCCATATATCGCTATGAGGAAGAACAAGAGACCAGATGTTATTTTTTTTTAATGGATGATAATGACATGGTGACCACGTTCGGCCTGTTGGTACACGCTGTCGGGGTATCTATGAAAGACGATAGATGATGATGAAAACAGATTGGTTGGCCCATCGTAATAAATTCATGAGGGGAAAAAATAATTGTTATTAATAAGAACTAGCAACCCCATTAGTAGCAATATACCCTTCTGTGGGAAACCATCGTAGTTAATTTTGACAAATTTGTTATGATAGATCAATTGGCCTGCTTTCATCCTCAACTATTTTACTGGATTCTGAGAGCGTAGGCGAAGTTACCTTTTCTTTATCATCCATTAAAAAAAATAATTGTTGGAGAATTACTTACAATCATAGTGGTTTTCAGGGGAATCGAGTGGAGATCGATTTTATAGTTTGTTTTATTTGCAACAGGGCAGGTAATCCCCATTATTAATCTCCCCCCGGCCGAATGTTTTTGACTCGTTCTCGTATCTCATGTACGGGGTAACGTTGTGATAACGTATTTATCAATAGATTCGTTTGCCAAGGAGCTAGTCGGGTAGATAGCGTTGATATTATCATATACAATGCACTTACTTTCATAGAGGAAGAAAGTCGTCGCCTCCGCTTATTATAATTTATAAGGAACTTGAGACGATGGCATTCGTCAAATGAACATTTGTCTGTGACCGAGTACATTAAGATGAAAGCCTCGGCCCATCGAATGTTACTGTCTAGGTTTGCGTATTCACTTTCCTGTAAAAAGTAAATTACTTGCTTATAAAATCATTCATATGGATAGGCGCTTGAGTCACATAGGATAATTTGAAGACCAAACTTATTTAATAATATTACAGATAATATATTACTATAAGGCGAGCTTCTAGAGTTAGTACTATGGCTCAGATTTGTATTCTACGAAATAATTGATAGAAAAAAAACTTATATGAACGCAATTTTACTCAGATGAAGCTGTGTTGGTTGATAAATAAATAAATAAATATTCATAATTATATGAAATGAAATGACAAAAGCCTTACATGTGAATCTCCGGCGGAATCCAATATTTCGAAATAAACCATCTCGTTATCTATTACAGTGTGAAATGAGTAAGTTTTTTCTAAATTAGGATCATATTCTCCGATAAAACGTCGTGTTATGAATCTCACCACCAAAGCTGTAAAACAAAGGAGAAAATGTTTAGACTTCAAGGTACTCAAGTAAGAAAACCAATTCACTCTAATTGCCACGAGATACCTATTAAATTAGTAGTTATTGGAATACATGCATCATCATCATCATCATCACAATCAGATGTTTGTTATTCAATAAGGCTTAAATGGTTAAACACATTTGAACGACATTTTGGACGCAGATGGACTACTTGTAAACACATACATAATATATACATTCATAGGTGAATGAAGTTTTATTAAGTATCAATAAAACATAAAGTAATAGGTTGGTTCTCATTTTATTAGTATTTTACCACACCTTAGCATCAAATTAGTTAGTAGTAAAGGATGAGTACTTTAAGGGACTTTAATAAAAATGTATATATCTATATACTATATATCATACATGCACTTAAAAGTATGGGTATCTAAATGTACAAATCTTCTTTGCCTAACTCACATGGAATATCAAGCGTAGTTGTATTATACAATTAATACCACTACCAAAACCTATTGGATAGGACGAAATTTTTTTGTAATGGATCAAAATGTTATAGATATTTTCATTTTATCGATACGATAGCAGGAACGTTACACTTAATAATAATAAAAATAAATCTGATAAACAATTAATTGTATAGGTACTTATTATACTTTTCTTACCAGATTTGCCAACTCCAGATTGTCCCAACACCATCACTTTGAATGGTTTAGGCTTTGGATATAGGACCAATTTGGCGAGAGAAGTCTTTGGAGATGTTGTGGAGCTCATCGAGGCGATGACCGTCGCCACTATAAACAGCTTAAAAAAGATGGAGGTTTTCAATTGGGTTGTATTTTTTTATGTTTGTTCTATAATAACTTCGTCAGTTCTAAACTGATTTGGAAGATTACTTTTTTATTGGAAAGGATTTACTTACAGATTGGTCCTATAGAAGCTTTTTCAAGATTAATAGTTTAATTTTAGATCAAAACTAGTTTTGTCACAATTGAAATCGGTTTCTTTTTTGTGGGACACAATCTTTAGTTATAATTTATCAATCATCACACTGGATCCATCGGAGTAGACAAAGATAAGTATGTTTATTTATAGCTTGTTATATTTTTATGTTTATTATATATTTATAGCTTGATTTCGGGCTGTTTGTTATATTGTTTTTCCACCAATATATTAGGTTCCATATTTTTTAAATAACGTCTCAACTGATTTCAGAACGGAGTCAGTTCTCAATTCAGTTGATTTTTTTATGTTTGTTACTTTATAATTCCGTCAGTTGTAAACCGATTTGGAAAATTCTTTTTTTATCTAAAAGAATATACTTGTAAATTGATATTATAGAAATTTTATTAAAATCGGTTTAGTAATTTAGTTTTTAATTGAAATCGGTGTTTTGTGCAGCATGATCTTATAAAAATATGGAAGATAAAGCATCAAGTAATATATTTATTAAAAATACACTTGATTATACTCTATATGATCATATATGTTTTTGTCATCGATTCGTTTATGTATTCTATAGAATAAGTCTATCATCACTTCATGAATTTTGACTAGGATTGCGATGTTAGTTCATATGTATGTCATGCTTCTAAATTTATTGCAATGTTTTCATATTAGCTGAAGGCTAGAATAGATAATAAAGCGATTTATTAATATTATAATTTAATTAAATAATATGTAAATTGGGTATTTCAATTACTATAATTGGTAATCATTAATTTTTTAAGTGGACCCGTAAAATTTATTGTGAGATAACCCAAGCTTGTGCAAAATCAAGTTTATTTTACCTTATTTTTAAAAAGTCCTTTCTGCGAATCGTAACACGATTTATTTATTGCTTTTTGGATAATAACCTATTAATATATTTGAAATTTTAGTAGTAGACATGAAAAAGAGAAATAAAGAGTTAATAACAGCTACAAATTGAATTGGATCGCGAGCCTTTTTGCGATAATTAAAAAGAGCCTACAAATTAATTGGGCTATAAAGGGAAAAGTCAATCGATTACTTATACAGAATACTCTGTCATCTTGTAATTGGTTAATAGGAAGGTAGGTAGGCTTGGTGTAGTTGATAATTGAATTAAAAATAAATATGAATAAACATTGTAATAATTAGAAAAATCTACACAATTTACTTAATCACAGAATAGCTTGCTCTTTATTTTCACTGCCATATAAAAGAATAAAAAAAAAGACTTTAAAAACGAGGAGGTTGTTAATTACTTTCTATTTTACTTTGTTTGTATGTTACGCGATATCTTTGCCTTTGAGTACCGTTCTTCCATTCGTATTTCTGTCGTGCGACTGTGCTTGCAGGTCTATTTCGGTTTGAAGAGTCGCAGATACCTTCGACTTCAAGTAGGTACTTAGGGCAACGCATATTAACCATACCATGTTTTTTTTCTGTAATATTCGTGATACTGCCCATGTCTATAGGCGACGGTTACCACTTATCATCAGGTGAGGTATCAGCTTGCTTATGCAATTTAGAATGGTAAACAAGCCATCTCAAAAACATTTTTTTTTATTGGTAGTAGAATGGCAAATAAGTTGATGACAAACATAATAGAAAGTGTTAATCGTTGTTTATAGACATAAACATAAAAAATATAGGCTAATTTTAAACCGATATTGATGATTATTTTTACAATCTACAAAGTCGTGTTGGTTACGTACTAATTTTATCATATTCGATTAAATGAATATAAATAAAAAGGTAATGAAATGTAATAACAAAAGTCAAATAGATTAAGGTATTGTTCTTGCATATAGTTAAAATTAATTATCCATTTATTATTAACTAACTGTATATTTTGGCTTTGCCTCCATAAATCAGTACTCAAATTTTAAATGCTAAGTTAACATATAAGCTGTTTGTATATCAAAATTAATATAAATCCGTTTAGTAGATTTTGTGTAAAAGAGTAACAATCATCCATGCATCCAACCCTTACAAACTTTCGCATTTACTTATAATCTTCCTATAATATTAATAAAATTTAAGTGCATTTTGCATATAAGTAGCGTATTAAGGATAATCAAAGACTTCTTGGTTTTTTAACGTTGTAGATTAGGTAGTTCAGTTACTTCATTCGTGACAAAATTAATATAGGACTATTACGAGAGTACACCTTGTCGATTGCAGAAAGAATTGTGAAGATATCGCGTAATATACACACAAAATAATACTGTCGAATAGTGGAATATATTCGAAATTATTATACATTTTCAAAACCTGTCTACTTACATCTGTTTATAAGTGGTCGGAAAATATAATTAGTGTGATTAAATAATCGCAAATAATTTACTGCGAGAAAAAAAGAACACTGAAAGTATTGGGTACAATAATAGTAACATTTTTTTAAATATTTTTTAGTAGTTTGTGACGGTAACATTTTAGTTTGAAATAAAATAATAACCTAAAATACATACCTAATTTTTAAGTAACGTTTGCTTGTACATGTCGAAAGTATTTTATTAATTAAAGAGATATATTTCAATATAAAAAATACTCCAATATAAACTGAAATATATAAATGTATTCAGAGGAGGTCGCGTGCGCCCTCCGCACTCACGCACTATGACTGAGTTGAGTTTACTGCAGACTAGGTTCAACATTGCCGGGTATACTCTACGAGTGGGTATATTTTATATGATAATTAGAGCAATCAAGGTAAATAAAGCAATCAATGACATTGCATGATTGCTTTATTTACCTATGTCACAACGTTTTTCATTTATCATGCATTATGGGGTGGTTCTACCTACAACCACATATAATACCTACTAGATACTAGTGATTTTTCATGTTTATCTGCGATAATTAGTACCTACTTATAATGTAGTACAAGTACCTTATGTTTTATACCTGTATAACGCATTAAAAATTTATTTTCGAGATTCTGTTTTCTGCATTTATCCATTTTGCTGTGTATAATGTACTCTAAATTAATCAATACTGAAATTAGATTCTAAATCGATAGTTCGGGCAACTGATAGATATGACGAAATTCTTTTATAAGATCCACTAGATACTGGAGAATTGTCGGTATCGAAGTTTAAGTATCTGTTTTCGTGTATTGCTTCTTGCGTGTGAGCAACAGTTTATATCAGTGAATCCATAGACCTCCACTTTTTGTACCTTCCTGAACATTTTCCGTTTGGGGATTATATTTTTCTTTTAAGATTAATAATATATTATAATTTAACAACGTCGCCTGATTTTTATCACCACAGAGAGAAAGAGTGAACTGCCTATACAAAGACAGAAAAACATTGCAGTTTTCGGTAAGTCTGTGTATTTATGTTTACTAAACCCTACCACCCTATTTAGGTTACCAAATCATAAAAAATAAAGTATCTTTCTTATATTCCTTTATTTATGAGTCTCAGTATTTGAATACATAGTATGCATGCAATTATACAGAATGATATATTTAATAGTTTGTTTATAAATAACGCGATAATATTTTAATGTATCTATAGATATTACTAATAGATAGAAGAGTTATCCACACTAGACAGATATAAATTACTCATGCCCAATTCCCGATGTATGTATCTATACGCGAGAGATTATAAATAAAAGTGTTTCGAAATGAGGATAACGGGTTAGGTATACTTGTCTATCTCTTCACTTGATTTTTTAGATAGATTAGTCATAGATATTTTATTCTTGTCGCAAGTAAAGATAGATTATTGTTATTCTTGAATGGTTACAGCATTAGTAATAGGTACCTATGGTATATTGCAAAGTCATATAGTTCATCTATTTTTAACGATATAGGTTATAGACGTTTCATTTGTTATGCAATTTTGTTAACTTTCTATAATAATAATAAGAAATCAATGCAAGTAAACTTAATAATTAGCATTTTTGAATAGTCGTTTTTTATTATTTTACCACCAATTCGGAATTCAATTTTAATTGATAAGGATGGGCGAGAAACACAACAGTTGCTTTTCAACAAAAACTGATTTTACAAATTTAAATTTATGTCAATACAGGCTAACAAATAGTTCAAGAGTTATTTAAATTATCAGTAAAAAGACATCCATTATTATAGTAAATATTATATTGAAATATATGTGAAACAAAACGTATTCAAATGCATATCAGATATAATTCGTAATAAAGAAAATAACTTAAATATTTCATGCATAATCATGTAAAGCCAGGTAAGTTTCTCTCGTAAGTAGTCGTTTATTGTATAATAGGCCTTTTTAAATAATTGTCTCTTAATAAAACATTTAAATTTGGTGAAAAGTAGATCAAATGCATATTTCGGAATCTTATTATAAATTTAAGTGCCCATTTCCACAAATAACCCTATTAATTTTTTCTAAATTATTTTTTTGTAGTTATTTGGATATTAAGTTCTTCTGTGCGCCATGCTAAAATGTACATTTTCGACGTAGAATTAAATTAGAACCTTGTAGACTTGACTACTTGTCTAAGTATTTATATATCTACGTACGCATATGTATGTACATTCATAGTTCATCAGGTGGTCGAGTCTCACAATATTAATTTCAATCACGGTAACCTCGATAACGGGTTATTTGATAAAAAGTTACTATAGTTATTTTTAGAATATAATAACTAAGCAATTATATATATATATTTCTATTATTCTTTAAGTGGTACAATAAAGAGTAAATAAATAAATAAAATAAATATACAGTCCATATATCTCGTTATTATTAGATATTATTATAAACTTGGCAGTTCTTTTCCGTCGCATTCTTTACTCTAAATATCTAACATAACCGTAACTTAAGCTATTTATAAACAAGTGATTGGAACTATAACGCTTATAAAAGTTTTCATTTCATTCACTTACCTATAATAGACTCTTACCCCTTATTCATAAAAACGTCAAATTTCTCATAAACCTATTTTAGTCATTAAAATGTTTTATTTTTTTCTTTTGACTGAATTCTTAATTTGAAAAACAATTGTAAACTACTTCATTAATTAAAATAAGTTTGCAAAAAGTTTTAGTTTTTATGAATAAGAGGTTTAGTATCTATGGTGGGTATATCACTGTTATCTTTGAATAATTTGGCTGATGGCTTTCGCCAAAGTCACAATAAATGAAAAAAAAAAATATCTTTGAATAATCTCTGTTTTTTAACTAGCAAAAGATGTAAAAGATATAAAAAAACTATTGAAGTAATTTATTGCATTATTATACAGCTATATAGTTTACAAATAGCAAAAGTGTCTAGAAAATATTTAAAAAGTTTTCAAGCTCATTTCACTTCTTCAAAAATTTCTCCAATTAAATTGTTAAAAAAAAATTCTAATAGAATTTTATCCAAAATTGCGAAAAAAATACTCAATCTGGCAATGCTGTGGACAATAATTAATATTACTTACGACCCTATACTTTCCTAATGATACCGTGATGTGTGGATACTGTGGCGCCTCTTTTGGACGTGCGCCGGCGCAAACCCGGTACAAAGGCCGATACCACTAAAAGTAATAGTACTAAGGCGGTACTGCCTTCATAATATATATAAAAAAGGTATAATACTTAAAAGGTTTAATACTTTGCATAATCATCAACAAGGTAGGTACAACAAAGTCAAATGCAAACATCTAGTAAATTATGCAAATAGCATTAAGTTAAAGCACAGTTAACTATATTGTTTTGGCAGCTCATTGAACCGAATTCGTATACCTATTGTGCACTGTCGTCTTACATTACATCCCGCAATGCTATATCTTCCATACATGTACATCATGTACCTAGCACAGGTTTTTTAGATTGTGCTTATAAATTTGAAATTTTGTTTGTTTTTTTTTTAGATAATAAAACAATATGTCAACTGAGACCTAATGTTATATTGGTTTTATGTTTGAGACTGTACATATCGAAACTAACGAAAAAGTTGTCACAAAAAGGAATTGTTAAGAAAGTCTTAAAAATTACCACGCCAGAGCTACTGAGTTCTACCAGATCGGTTGCTTCTCATATGGTTTAACGATGTAACCCTGACGGTCGTGCCTCTTGGCATCTCCAGTCAAGTAGACCCGCGCGGCCGTAATTGTAGTGAAAACTATGTTATTTTTAAAGGTTTTTGATAAAAAAATATATATCGATTTTAAATATGTTGTTAGCTAAGAGAATTGTTATGTTTTCCTTGTAGGTAATGTTCACATATACTTTTATAAACTTTAATTATTTCAGAATTTATACATTTAAAATTTCGGTGATTAATGGACGTAACTGCATTTTTCGATTATAAGTTAAAAAAAGCAGTATAGATATAATAAATAAAACTCAGATTTAATATGGTTAATATTATAATTAATAATTAGTAGATAATTTTGAATTTTTGAATACCCTTTTTGGACCTCCTATCAAAGAAAGTATAATTATTATTTTTTTAATTGCAAAATGTGTGGCCTAACAATATGCACTTTTTCAAATTTCAAATCGATAGCGTTAAGTGCTTAAGTGCGTTAACTTAATGTGCTGACCCTGTGTCTGTAAGTTGGAAAAAGGGGAAACCAACGAGATTGCCAACTATCAAGAAATCATAGGTTCTTTAATGTATCTGTCATGTGCTACAAGACCAGATATTAGTTTTGCGGTGAGCTACTTAAGTCAATTTTGCTCTTGTGCTGGATCATCACACATGTCTGCCGTAAATATATATTTATCTTAAGGTTTAATACCATAATGCGAACTTTCAAGAAAAGCAAAAGCGAGTAGATAACTGGGGTGCTAATGCTGATGGACATTCGTTTACTGGAATTTACATCGGGACAATTTCATTTGTAAACCCCGATCTGTGAAGCAGCTAAAGACGTTATGTTTATTAAAGTGGAGAGTTAACTGGTCATGTAGGATGTGTAACTATTTTTAGTGAAGTTGCCAGATCATTGACATATTCCCCGGTGTAAACGGTCTAAACACATAAATATTAAGTTTCATTATGTTAGAGAGTTAGCCGAAGGTAAGGACATTAAAGTTGAATATTGCGATACAGGCTCTATGCCTGCTGATGTTCTGACTAAATCCTTTGGTGCTATTAAACACAGTTATTGTGTGCAACGCATGGGACTCCAGTGGGGGTGTTGAAGTAGGTTTTATGTGTTATGTTAGTCTATGGAGCTCACGCGTTGCTAGGTTACCTTTTACTGTTACTCTCAATCTAAAGTTAAATAAAATATAATATACTATATAGATTTCTCCCTTTATTTTAATTTCATCAGTAGTTTAGGAGATATAGCGTTATGACACACGGACGGACGGACAAAAAAGGTCGCGCCATAAGAGTTCCTTTGTTATAAAACCTTAAAAAAAACAACAGTATCAGTCGAGGCGGGTCGCTAATAATTCGTAATCTTGTTGCAGATTAACATTTTATTTTCAATAGTGAAATTATGAGAAACATCATGTGAAATTCCTGTTCTACACGCGATAGAACACGCAATTTGGCAACGAATTTTGACAGATCTCTGACATTTGACAGTAACAGTGACAGATAAGGAGAGAGGTCTTATATATTTTTTTCCTTATTGTAAATTCCTTCAAATTTCAAATTTCTATTTCAAATCCATTACATTTAATAATTTTTATAATGACGCCAGAAGAGACTATAGAAAAATTTAAGCTACTGGGCTTAAGTGAACAGAAGGCTAAAGAAACTCTTAAGAACAGTAATGTTACGAAGTTTCTACTTGCCGCACTCAATGAGGTTAATTTTCACTGATCTTTTTTTTAATAAATATTAGTGATATTAAAACAGTGAACATTGTTTTTTCAACTTGTAGGTAGATTTGAAGAAAATACCGTCTGGTTCTGGCATGTTAATATATCACTTAGCTACAAAAATCAAACCACAGATTTCTCATAGGTTAAGTTTCGTGTGTAGTTATATAGTTAGTGGAAAACTAGATTCGACTCTTCGTGTTGATGCTGCTTTAGGATATCTTTTGAGCCATGTAAACGACACGGACATAGATGTTCCGACATTTGAGGAATCTTGTGGTGTCGGAATTATAGTCACCCCTGAACAGGTGGAACAAGTTGTAGAGAAACATATGGCGAAGTATAAGCAAGAACTATTAGAGAAAAGATATCGCTACAACTCTGGCATTATAATGCAAGCTGTGAGAAGTGAACTACCATGGGCAGATGGCAAGGCAATAAAGAATGAAGTGGATGTCCAGGTATATTTCTATTTAAAACTAAATAAGGGATTTTAGGACAGTAACATAAGAATATTTGTGTATATACAATGCAGTTGTTTTGTTTCTGGTTTTATATGGAATAATAGTTTTCTTACTTATATTTCATTAAACAATAATAGTTTTATTTATTAAATATTAATTAAGTTATAGGTATGATAGTAAAATTACAAGATATGATGTATGTATAATGAGCTATAACATCTCAGGAATGATAGTTCATGAGGAGTATCTTCAGAAGGATAAAAAGGAATGATAACCTCCATTGACGTCTTTAAAATTATTTTTCAGGGGGAGAGAGCCTGGTCCCTTAAAAAATATAGTAATATCTATCTACTCTCAGACATGATTTTGAGCCTAGTTAAAATAGTTAAAAGCTTTGCTCACATCCTAGAGTGGCCACAATATAATTTTATTTAGATTACTCAGATTATCCAGCCTGTGCTATTAGTATGCAAGTAATGCACTATCAGTGAGTGGTAATAGGTAAAGAATTCCTGTCAGTTAGTCACCGTAACAGTGGTGAATTAATTGTTATGATTTTCAAGATGGATTGCAGTTAATCTGATCTGGTATACTTTTAAGAATTGGGCCAATAGTTCCTATTGCTAATAATTCCCTTCCTTTGTAAAGGGTACCATGGGCTTCTATGGTGTTGTTATTGTCTGTAGGTGATAGTTACTACTTTTTCTCTGGTGGATTGTTAGCTTATTTGCTATTTCATGTTGCTTTAAAAATTGTTACATGAATGGATATTCAATAAATTACATAAACATAATATATACTTATAGAATTGCTAGGCATCAAGATACTTGATTTTGCACTACCTTTATCTAGTAAATTCTATTTTCAGATATTGGACTTATTGGGCCCTAAAACAGAAGCAGATCTAGCACCTCCTCCTAAAGCTGAAAAGAAATCCAAAGTTAGTGACACAGCCAAGAAAGTCAAAGATGATGACAAAAAAGGTACAGATCTTATTATAAAAATAACTATATTTATTTTGCTATTATTTAGATCTGATATAATTATGTTTTAAAACAATGTATAATAATGTACGGAAATTATAGACTGAAGTCATTATAGATTTGTGTTTTAATTTATATAATTTTTTAATCTTTCAGTAGTAGTAAAACCAGTCAAATCAGAATCTGTTGTGGATGTTGGTGGTGGTGCATCAATTCTGGAATTAATGAAGAAGCTTCCATTCCATAGTCCTGGAGAAAATTATAAATCAGATGGTTACATAGTAACACCGGATACAAAACAATTGCTTGAAGAACATCTTAAAATAACCTCTGGTAAAGTGCGAACAAGGTTTCCACCAGAACCAAATGGTATATTACACATTGGTCATGCTAAAGCTATAAATATTAATTTTGGATATGCTGCTGCTCATAATGGCATATGTTTTCTGAGGTATGATGATACTAACCCAGAGAAAGAGGAAGAGAAATTCTTTATTGGCATCAAAGATATGGTAGAATGGCTTGGTAAGTTTGTACTCATCATTCATCATCATCTTCATATCAGCTCTTATCAGTCCACTGCTAAACATACGCCTTCTTCATTGGATGGGTGGATTAGCAACTACATTTTTGCTTTCAGTGATATTTTAATAAGGATACTGCTGCCCAACCTTAATCATTAAGTTTCCCTAGTCACCTCTACGCCCATGGGAAACGAAGGGGTGGGCCATTCTATGCCAGGGTCACATGGCATAAAATATGGCAAGATTGTACTATATTATACCATTGAATAATTGAAACATAGTCCTTCTGAAGATGAGGTACCATTAGACAATGAATTCATAGAAACAGCAAATTATAGATAATTTTCAGATGTCTGTTAAAAGTTAGTGATAAAGAATAAAGTGTCTATCATATCAATATTTTAAAAATTATTGTGATGCTATAATGTGACACTGAAAATAGAACATGTTCTAACAAATTATATACTCATTTTTAGCCACTTGAATCAGTAACAGCAATCATGCTTCTTAAAACTATGTTACTATGGATATTTACACAAAACATTAATGTTACTATACAAAACTGGAATGCTTTAGTAACTATTAAAATTGTTGTATTTCAGGTTACACACCTTATAAGATCACACATTCATCAGACTATTTTGACCAGTTATATGAGTGGGCTGTACAATTGATTAAAAAGGATTTGGCTTATGTTTGTCATCAGAAATCTGAAGACATCAAAGGTTTCAATCCTCCACCATCACCCTGGAGAAATAGACCAATTGAAGAGAGTTTACAGTTATTTGAGGTATTTAAGCCTTAAATTGTTTTATGGAAGGATTAAATATAGAAAATATCTTTTGAAGATTCTTCATATAAGATAAACATAAATACTAGGTTATAATATTATCTCTATGTTGTCTTGAATTATTTAGCATATACCTGATTATTTTTAATTAAAACAAGAAAATGATTTCAATTTCAATGTTTGTATTTTTATATATTCACCAATTATTAATTAAATATATAAATCATTACAGTTAATCCTGTACTAATTTTGTCAAAATTGATATGTAAAAAAATATAAATTTCGGGAACTTCTTAGTTAGTGCTCTCTTATATTAAATAGGGAATCTAAATACAGAATTTGCTTGTTTCTATATAGATCTAACTTTGATAAAATATATTACTATATTGTGGTTTTTCAATGTATTTCTAGGATATGAAAAATGGCAAAATAGATGAAGGAGATGCAACTTTAAGAATGAAAATAACACTGGAGGAAGGTAAACAAGACCCTGTGGCATATAGGATTAGGTTTAAGCCTCATCACCGAACTGGCAATAAGTGGTGTATCTATCCAACTTATGATTACACTCATTGTTTGTGTGATAGCATTGAACACATTACACATTCATTATGCACCAAGGAATTCCAATCTAGGAGGTAAAGTATTATGAATTGAATTAGTTTTTATTGTAATGAATACTACTATCTTTTGTTTTTAACTTTAAATCAGTATTTTTACTTTAATAATTTTTAGTAAATAAAATGTCTGTAAAAAGGGCAGTCTATGTCCTTCTCCAACTCATATAACTGTTAAGGTGTAAAGAGATAATGGATGAACAAATTCACTTTCACATTTATAATATAATATTAATAAGGTAAAATTGTGTTTACAAACATTAAAATTTATTATTTAGCAGATGTTGATGGCGGTATCTGCTTTCCATCATGTGAACTATCTGCTTGTTTGCCTCCCTAACAATAAAAAAAAAACGAAAAATAGGTATAATTCTTGTCACTTAATAGTGTTGCATGAGATATATAATGAAATATATAAATATATGAATAAAACATAGTAATAAACATAATAATGAGAATGACACTAAACAGGATAAAATTCTAATTTCAATAAAATTTTAAAAGTTCACATTTATGACATCTTAACATACATATTCATATCTAGTTTCTAAGGGACAAACATAATACCATATGCCAAATGCCACAGCCCAATTGCTTTCATGAAATTCCTAGTTTATCCATTTGCATTCATTCACTATTATATTAACATGCCAGTTCTGGATTTTCCACTCTATCAGATAATATACTATTTGGTTTATGATAAGTCAGCCTAGACCTCCCTAATATCAATATTTTTTCACTTGGTTTTTGTATATGTTTCATCCAACATTCTTTCCATGCCCTTATTACCATACACATAAATGCCGTAAACATAGATGCCGTAAGTATTTCAGTGATATAAAAATTAACTATATCAGTAGTAAACTATTAGTTTTTAGCGATACAAAAGCTGTTTATTAATAGCAAAATATTTCAATATGACCATCTGTAATGAACTAATAATGTTGTGTTTGGTAATTCTGTAAACTGTTTTCATTACACATTTAGGAACTCAATGACATTGAGCCTGAGTCAATTAAAGTCTATTGGACATAATGTGGGGTTCGTAATTGACAAGTATTTGCCATATCTATGTAAATCAATCTCTGTGTATATAAATCATTATCAACACTCGGATTAAGTTTTATATTTTGTTCATTAGTACATAACAGTGTTCTTTATCGCAGGTCATCGTACTATTGGTTGTGCAATGCTCTCGGAATCTACTGTCCAGTACAATGGGAATATGGACGACTAAATGTAAATTATACGGTTGTATCCAAGAGAAAAATAGCAAAGTTAATTGATGAAGGAATTGTTAAAGGTACAACAACTCATGCATATTTGGTGCAGTAATTTATAATAACTTTAATTGCCAACTAGTGCATATAAACAAGTTATATAGTATCAGGTGTTATGGGAATGTATGTTTGTGCTTTTATTGGTCGAGGTTTACTAGGTGTTATGAAAATGTAATATTACTTTCAATGGTCGAGTGGTGGAAAGCCGTATCCTTCTTAGGTTATCGCCAGGTACTAACTGCGGTTGCCAATCTGTGTGTTAAGCGTGGCAGTTACTGGCAAAATCCTCGAAGGCCTATGTTCAGTAGTGGACAGTTAATGGCTGATGTGATTATTATTTTCTAGTCTGATAAAGTTAAAGTACTTATATTTCCAATTCTTTCTAAATATTAGTCTGCATAATGTTTATAATATTTAATTTAAAATGTCATATAGTTTTAAATATAATATATAAAAATAGTAATCATTATTATGAAATCACTATACTGAGTTTGTTTGTATAGGTCACTATTATAAGACCTTTCAGTGGTTCGTCGTCAGTTCCATACGGGTACATGGAGTGCATATAAATATATACACTAAAGGAAAAATTAGGGAAAAAAATAAAATTTTTAGATGATTTTCAATAGGCTGTAACTTGGAGAAAAATCATCGTAGAAACGTTTAAAAAAAAAGCAAATTATAGCTCTAAGTGTCTAGTTTTTGTATCTAAACTCGAAAAATTTTTCATTCAAATTTTTTTTCAGGTAATATTGAAAAAAAAAACAGTGACATAATAAGTTTAAATTTTTTTTTGTTTTTTTTTTTCGTCTACAGGCTATAAAACAACTTTTTTTGACATAATCACTATATGGACCAGATAACTGGTTAATTCAGCTTCAAATTTCTCGATCAAATTTTTGAAAAAAATTGAAGGATTACATTTTCGTACCAAAAAGCTTTTAATCTTTAAAAAAAAAAGAAAAAAAAAATATAACCTATATGTACAAACCTATTATTACGCCCTCAGTTCTTTTTTTTTAAATTTTGTTAAACCCATATATTTATTTCCTTACTAATAGTATAAATGCCAAAGTTATACAAACTTTCGCGTTAATACAATTAGTATGGATGTTTGTTACTATTTCACGCAAAAACTACGAATGGATTTTAATGAAATTTTACAATAATATAGCTTATACATCAGAATAATACATAGACTAATAATAAATAAATAACATAATAATAACATAATTTATAAAGATACTGTCTGAATTGTCCAAAATATAACGATAAGTATCAAGTAGAAAAAAATTCTCCCGTTTGTGAGATTTTTTGGCGTACGTTGCAAAAACAGTATAATGTATGATGGTAATGTTTATTTTAAATGGTCTAAAAAAAGGTCGCGACAGTATATCAGTATACCATAAATACAATAAAAATTGATACTTTATTGCTGATGTACATTTGGTAGTAACAAATTGATCCTTATATACAACATAAATACTTTTATCGCTTCTGGTATCTAGAGTAAATAAGCTTTGTCTTTTACACTATAACATTTGTACAAATATTTTAATTGTTGCGACGATCACAAACCGAATGCGCAATGCTCCGGTGAGGTTCGGTGGCTCGTACTGCGGGCGGGGTGGAAGAAAGTCTTTTAATGGGTAATGATGGAATGGTAACCCCACCCGCGTTATCGGTATACACCGGCGGGGCACTAGTGAAGGATGATAGGTGAGGATGAAGCAGTTAGCCCATCGTGACGAATTTAACAAGAATTGTTCACGATGTTTTCCAGGGGGAACCATGTGGAGGTCGACCTAATGGGGCATACTGCTAGCAATGGAGCTGTCACTTTCTATTCCCAACAATCTCTTTCCCCCCGGGGGAAGAAGTCGCTCATCGCTGAGTGTGCAACGTCAATGACAGTTTTGTCTGTTTTGCGATTTGCAAAAAAAATTACACTTCAGGCGTTCAGGAATACCTGAGGACTAAGTTGTTATACCTATAACAACTTAGTCAACTTATGTGGAGGTTTTTACTCTGTAACTTCACTGTACTGTTCACGTATGCAGATTGGGACGATCCTAGGCTATACACTTTGACGGCGCTACGGCGGCGTGGCGTACCGCCGGCTGCCATCAATGCGTTCTGTGCGTCGCTTGGCGTCACGGGTGCTATCGCGGCCGTCGACCCCGCCGCGCTCGACGCTGCCACAAGGGACCTGCTCAACGTCACTGCACCGAGGTATTGTTAAAAGTAGCCAGCATGTATTCGAAGCGGTCATATCGAATACAACATCGGAATCATTTCTTAATTTTCAAAAACAATTAGATAATTTTCTTCTGTAAAGTTCGGTGTCAAATTGATACATTCTACTATTTTCCATGAAAAGATATTCAATTCCATAATCCTAGTCCTACTAATAGTATAAGTGTGAAAGATGTTGGGATGTATGTTACTCAATGATGCTTAAACAGCTTGTTGGATTTGAATGAATTTTGTTATATAGTTACATTTTATTCTAACTTAATGTATGGGATACTTAAATACTGATTCAAATTATAAAAGTAATAGTCGTAGTTTAGGACTAGATGGCGCTGTATAACAGACAGGAATATTTATTTGTTTTATTATTATCATGTATCAAAATCAATACAATATTCTGCTAACTGTTTACACATCTGAATTGTAAATATGTATATTTGTTTCAGGGTTATGGTAATACTAGAACCATTAAAAGTTAAAATTATTAACTTCCCGAGTGAAGGGCCTATTGCAGTTAATGTTCCTGACTTTCCAAATGAACCAGACAAGGGTTCTCACAAAGTTGTTTTTAGCAAAGTGGTGTATATCGAGGCAACTGATTTTAAAGAAAACCCGGAAAAAGGTTATCGACGTCTGACTCCTACACAGTCTGTAGGGTTGCGACATGCAGGATATATATTAAAGGTATCTTTCCATTAAATGACAAAAAAACGATTTTTAAATGAAGTTATAGTGTTCTAAAATTATTATAGTTATTAACATTATATATTTTACTAAATATTATATATATTCTTTTGATATGTTCCCAAAGGTTATCTGGAAGAGATTGCGTAGCGATAAAGCCGTCTTTTGTACTTAAATGGGGCAAAAGACGACTTTATCGCTAAGCAATCTTTTTCATCTTCTCATTAAAATTTACTGTATTTATTATCTTTGTAAATTGTGCAGTAAAATGTAAATAAATGAATACTTAACTCATAATTTCTTTAAATCTTTAACTAGGTATCGAAGCTAATCAAAGATGATTCAGGCAAATTGATTGAAATAGAATGTACTGCAGAGACTACAGAGACAGCAGAGAAACCAAAAGCATTCATTCATTGGGTTTCGGAGCCTATCAGTGTCGAAGTACGATTGTATGAACCATTGTGAGTATTTTGTATTTATCTTTCAATTATACTTACGTACTATAGCTTAACAGTATACAAAACAATATTATCTTGTTTAAAAGTTCTTTACTACTAGAAGATATAATCTATTTCCATAGCATGGGCCATTAACTTGTTTGCTATACTAAGTTCTGTCAAAAATAATTTTCAAGTAATAGTTACTGTCAGATGGAATGTTAGCATCTACGCTGTTATTACGTCAGTAATTTGTTTTTTTAATTAAATAGGTTTAAACATAAAAATCCAGAAGACCCCAACGAAGTACCCGGCGGTTTTCTCTCGGATTGCCGCGAAGACACGCTGAAAGTGGTTGAAGCGTATGCTGACGTCTCTATCCGAGGAGCCAAGATTTATGACAAGTTTCAGTTTGAGAGAATAGGATTCTTTTCTGTTGATCCTGACACTTCATCGAATAGTGTAAGTAAATTATGTTTTTATAATTAGAATAAGAGCTTTATTATATTATTTGACTATTGGAAATATTACTAATAACATAATGTATACTTCTTTGGCATAAATTACTTTAAACAGAAATAATTTGTTTGATTACATTATAAAACATTAAAGTAAAATAACCCAGGATTTTTTCTAAGATAAAAAAAAAACTTTATACTATTTTTTTTCTATATATAAAAAAGATGTTATTAAAAAATTTTGTCTGCCTAATACCTATTGATTTTCCGTCTATACTTTCTTGATAAGTTTTTTTCTTATTTTATGTTTTTTAAATATATAAATAAATACAAAATGGTTTAAAAACTAAAAAATGAACTGTGGGTTTACTTTTGAAATAAATTACAATAGATAGCTATTGAAATTGAGACGTTTCGCACTCTCGAATTGCAACACTAGTGACATAATGGTACCATATTGTTCTGATAGATGCATATTAGTATAACTTGCCAATGTAAACTATTGCAAACAAATCCCAATTATAATTTAATTCCTAATTGTTATTTCGTGAGTGAGTTCCAAATTGTCATTGGCATTAGATTGGATTGATATCGAAGTAGGTTTGCTGCAGCGATCTGAACAATCTTTATTTTATTTGCATGTTGAACAGTACTTTTAAATTTAGACAGTCTATATGCAATAATTCTCGTATTCAAAAAGTTGTAGCAATGTTGTTGTTACATATTCAGTAGCAGTATTAATATACACTGATGAAGTTAGTAGTTAACAATGCCGTAATTATTTTAATTTCTATTAATATAAAATTAACTTAATCGTGAAATGTAACTTCAAGATATAACTGAAAACTTTTCTGTTATTTTCAGTCATATCATTTTGTTTTATTCATAAAAACAATACAAACCTATTTTAACTACTTGTATTATAGAATTTTATCTCTTTCATATTTGAACTTTTTTGAGCATGTCTAAATTAATATTATAAAGAGGAAAGATTTATATATTCTTTGTAATGGATAAATTAGAAAAGTTATTAATTTATTAAAAAAAAAAAACACACCTATGAAAAGCTATATTATCAACGAGAAATATTGGTTGTATTTATTGATATTAAAAAAAAAACCTGCTCAATAAGGGTAGGTAGGTTACTAATATTTAATGTAATATAACACAAAAGAATAAGGCAAACTAGTTTAACAGCTAAAATATATTTATTAAACCTATTATATTTTTATGAATAAGAGAATTACTCTATTATAATTTATCTGTTATTTTAATATATTTGCATCTGTATATATGTATGTACTGTTAACAAATATTTCGTTGTTACAGATTATCTTCAATAGAACAGTTTCTCTCAAAGAAGATACAGGAAAATAAAATGCATAAGTATAATATTAATATGTAAATTTTGTATTAATGAGTTTAATAAACGTTTTATTAAAGAATGATCTTATCTATTTATTTATTTTTGTATTGATGTTATATCAAATTAATATAAATAATATACAAAAACAAGTGTTGTTTGTAGGCGTAAAAACTAAGAAATACAACTATTTTGCGTGTCACTGTGATATGAATAGATTATATTAAGATCAATGACCTTGACATAATCATTTCATATATTTTTTTAGTATTCTAGTTTAATGAACTGGAGCACTAATAAAATCGCTAATATTTATAGAAATAAGTACCTATTACTGATCTGGTTAAATCTTTTGGAAGGCAGATTATGATTATTTTATCCTAAAATAAACTACTCTTATTAGAGTTTATTATTTTATTAAATTAATAATTATATTTAATTATTAGTTTTTTATCACTTTTTAAAATTGAAAATGTTTATCTTGAAAGAAAAAGATATATGAATATATAATTTATTTGCGTTACTTATATTTAATTTATTGCATTATTTTGCACACAAATAACAGACATAGATACACAAACATGTAAAAAAGAGAAAAGAAGACATATACAAAGAAGCAAATTACATTAAAAGACGATATATTCTAATAGAGTAACTAGGTTTATTTACCTTTTTATAAAAAGAAGGTGCTTAAAGTAATATAATTATGTATATTACCATACAGGTTGGATTTTTGTGACGGAGCTATTAAGGGCACAACAGCTATAGGCAAATGTTTTAATGATACTGCTGTTTAATTGTTTAACTACATTTATAAATTTTATCAAAGCACTTAAATTTTTTCTGTGTCTCTACTTAGATATTGTACATACTTGTACTAAATTTAGTGTTTGATCTCCTATTAACCAATAATATATTCGACAAAAGACGATCAATGCTATTATTTTTTATTAGTATATTCTTAAGAAGTAAAAAGATATTGATAGACTGTTTAATAAAAAAAAAATACTGATTAATTGCTAGCGAACCCAGTTTCGCAAGAATGCAGTTTAGAGTGTAATATATAAACAGACTTTGTATAAAAACATCTAAAATGCAATTTATTTCCGTTGCATGGTTTAAAAAAAGGGTACGGTAAAACTGATGGACAGAAACAGCATTTGTAAAGTAAAAGTACATTTGTATTACCTCTTCGTGCCTTAATAGCTTAACCAATCGGCATGAGATCAGATATATGTCTCTACTTTGCTCTTGTCAATCAAAATGAACTGGTGAATAACGCAGGAGAAGTCACGGAGATAATCAATTTTAATTAATAAATTGTAATGTTTTTATCTGACTTCGCTAGAAATGTTTTCATGTTTTTTTTTAAGTATATCTAAGTAGGTATATATAAATACCAAATAAAAATATAAATACCTAAATACCAGCTTGAACCCTTCGACCCGGTGCAACGACGAGCTATGAGAATCGTCGATGATCCCAGGCTTAGGCAAGTATTAGGAGAGATTTTGCTTCATTTTGCGTGTTCTACCGCTTGTAGTTACAAGGGATTGTGCTTAGAGGAATTATTTAATATGACGCCCACGGCCACTTTCTACCATCATACGGCTCGCCATCGACAGGAAGTTCATCCTCATACAGCCTAAATGGTCGCATACAGCGCGGTTTCAGAGATGTATTTTCTTACGAACACTCAGGATGTGGAATAAGCTCCTTGCCGAGGTTTTCCCAAAAGATTACAGCATGGGGTTCTTCAAAAAGGGGATAAAGAGGTTTTTTCAGGGTCAGCAACGCGCGCGTAATACCTCTGGTATTACAGATGTTCAAAGGCTATGATAACCACTTACCATTAGGTGGGCCGTATGCTTGTTTGCCACCTCAGTGGTATAAAATAAAATAGTTACTATTCCTAGTTTATAGTGGTCTATTATAAGTATTTTGTTATTAATAAATTATAACCCAGTTACAATTATCAATTTTCCCATTAATAAGTTAAAAGTATAATTGTGTTTAGCGTTAATTGAATTATCATTATATATAAATACGTATGTGAGTATATGTAATAACTGTTTTTAGTGAAATAAATAAAATTCGGATCAGAATTAAATTTCATTGGATAAGAATTGGAAAATAATCTTCCCTTTACACGCTGACCTTGATTTTGTAAGTTTCAGCGTGACCTAGGGCTGTGTAATGAGAGGGTCGCGTTGATCGCGGCGGGCGGACGCAGCGGCGCGGCGGCGCGCATTATCGAGCGTGGGCGGTCGCGCATGCCACTACGCTACACTAGCCTCCGCCATCCTGCGATATGCTTTACTACGCGGTCACGTCTACTGAAACTTAAATCATACCATATCAGCCCACGTCCGTGTGAGACGACCTATGATGTAGAAACAATCTGGTTGAGGCATACAAGTAAATTTAAGGTAAGTCACATGTTTTTTTTTGTCGTTTTATGATAGACGTAGTAGCTCGTTCTATAATTCGTCAATATTATTTTGTCGTATCAAATCTGTTGTTCTTGTTATTATATAGTTACTAATGTAACTAGATATACGTTTTCATGTTGATTTTTAATGACGTTTTAATAAATATCATATTTTACATATTATATAAAACAGTATATATGTATATATAACTAATTAGCTGTTTTATATACAAGTATGGCAGGTCCCACCCAAAGGGAATGGTGAATGGATCTTTTTTAATGTGGTGAAATAAATCGTAGTTCTCACTATGATGAACTGTTGTGCTGTTACAATATGGGCAAGATATCAAGGTCGACCTATTAAATATTAGTTATTCGAATATTGAATATATGGACTCCAGTAGGTACATCGAATAAATGGGATTAGAACGCTCAATATTACTCCTTGTTTAATTCTTGGTAGGTTTAGTATGATTAATTGTATGTGTATAATGAAAGTAAATTGTATGCAAATTATTTAATTAATTAGTCCTTGATCGAGAATCGCGGTATTTCTTTTTATTGATTTTGTTTATAAGACGAAATGGATTTATTTTTATTAAATGGCTCTGGCATTTAATTTTCCAATTTGATTTGATTTCCAATTTGACCAATATACTTAACCTACTTTTTATTTGGCCCATCCCTCTAACTGGTCTATTCCCTTCCTTTTTATCTTTCAAAGAGATTGCTTATGAACAACTTGCTTTTGCCCACAACTTCGTCCGTGTTATCGGGACATGTTTATTGCCCGGAATAAAAAGTAGCTTATCCCTTCTCTATCCCGTATAATACAATAAACCAAATTTCATAGCGATTGGTTAAGCAGTTAATGCGCTATAAAGTAATAAACATACAAGTAAATTAATTCACTTCCACATTTATAATATTAGCAACTATTTAATCATTCATAATAATGCAATGGTATTGTGAGATAGGACTCCTTTATTATTCTCAATATCTCTTCTTTCATTTCTTTTTGTGTCCCAACTTAAATTTATTACATGTTTTAAAATGTATTTCAAGACTGAATGTTTTACTTGAAACAAACACAATTGCCTCAGATTTGTAAATCATAGCTACTATTTAAAATTTCAAATGTATATGCACATAGCATGACTAAAAACATTTGCGTATAAACATATAGAAAAGGACATTTAAAATTTTACAAAATGTTTTAATTTGTAACGACTCTGAAAAGATCTTTTATATTAGTATTTCTTTGATATAGATACTCCAGTTAGTTACGATTTTATTGCCTATGTATAGATTAATTCCTGGTAAGGAGTTTTATTTCGCTGGGCCTAATGTAATTTCATTACGAGCACCGTGGGTGGACCCTTAACAATCTATCTAGAGCTCTATTAATAATTGGTGAGTAATTCTATGGAATCTCCAATATGCAGTGTTATATGACAATAAATTATTCGTAAATATTTCGCGCTTACTTGTTATGCCACCATCAAGACATGGTGCACTATCGTCAGAATGTATGTACTAAATCACCTTGTATTTAATTATTATATTATTGACCACGAAATGCACAATACGATATATTCCACAAGCATTATTACAGTCAAACATTGATGTACTATATTGCTTTGTACGTTGAGTTAATAGGACCTACCAAATTATAAAAAAAATCTTGGATATCCCTGCAGCCTTATAATAACAGGCTAACATCAGTTTTTAAAATAAAAATAGCTGATTGAGATGCCATCGAGAAAATTAGTAATTAAAAACGTTAGTAATCTAATAATAACTAATTTTAATAGTTAATATCTACCTAATTTCCTCAAAAACCACTTTCTGGCTCTTACAATTTTTTTAATCATATATTAATTTAAAACTTTCTACCCCATTAATTTTATTACTACTATATTTTGTATTTTTTTTTTAATTAGTAGATTCAACAAAACAATACCAATCCAGTTTATCGAATTTGAAACCCAGGCACATTATTGTTTTTAGTACTCTTTTTGTGTTTAACATACACAGCAGCTTATCACAGTTATCTGTACCGCCATTGACTTTACCACTACCAGCATGCGTATGGTGCGATTAGTTAAGTGGAACACGATTTGCGTATCTACATGTCGCCCTTGCAATGGTAATAGCTAGAATGGTATCTTTTTTTTATACAACTTAGAATGGCAAACAAGCTGACAGCTCACCTGATGAAAAGTAGTAACTGTCGCCTATAGACATGAGCAGTACCATGGACATAATAGAGTATACTGTTTCGCCCATGATACCTCCATGCGTTGCCATTCCTGAGGACTGGGGTGTTATTCCTCTGTACCCTGTAAATTTACGCCATATCCCACCCTTCAAACCGAAACACAGTCATGCAAACACAAATGCTTCACGGTTGAAACACGAATGGGACAGAGGTACCTAAGCAAACTACTTTTGTATAAAGTCTCCCTCTGGTAAATTTTGTATATCTGTAACTAATTTCATGTCCCTTCATGTTTTTTAAATATTACGATTGTCATAGGAGTTTTTGGATAAAACTTTTTCTATATACAGTACGCCACATCGAATAATTCTATTTATTTATCTTCACGTCTTTACGGGGTAGGCAGAGAGGTAGAACTGAACTCAATGATTAATGGAATGCTTACTTTACCTAATACTGTACATTATTTTATGGAAATAACGAATTACCAACTGAAATTTGGTATAAATACGTAGTAGTAACTATATATTCGGGCGAGAATATATTTACAAATAATTTGGAATATTTTTTTGTTAAAATGTATTATAATAAAAATCTTATAAAATTAATCTAAATGCTATTTAGGCTAATATCCACCTAATTCAAAAGACATACTTCTAACATAAAGTTAAACAATTTTATTTTGTCAGGAGCGTAAGATAAAATTACGTTTAAGTAGATAATACCTACTACGTTCACCCACCGGTGATTTAGGTGAAAAGGTTAGACGTTAAAATGTAATTTATATGGAAGGTTTGAAGGGCAGTCGGTACGGCGGCGAAGTCCCTAGACCCATTACTTTAAGTGACGGCGGAACATCTCGCAAGTACGAGTAAATAGGTACTTCATTAGTCTTTGTCAATTTACGGCACTGCTGGAGTCATTTAATACCTACGTAACCGGCGCCATGTTGAAACAATATGGTTTCTATTGTTTCCACTTAATTTGGATCGGTTGCTTATAGTACATTCATAGGTTCGTAGTAAGTTTTCTAAAGAAGTGCTCATCAAGCATTAATATCTGAGATCGATGATTTCTACTATACTTAGAGTATACCTATACTTAGAGTAACCGACGCAATTTGTGAAAGGGATCGTTAATTTGCGTTCGACTACACGATCAAGAGATAAGTAGATAGATGGATAAGGTTTTTCTTATTGGTGAAAATGGAATTATAACCCCGCCTGTATACCAAGGTATACCTTAAGAAGTATACCTTGGTGGGGCACCAGTGGGAGATGATCGATCAGTGAGGATTAATAGGTGAATTGGTCCATCATGACAAATTCTACAAAAATTAACAGTAATGGTTTTCAGAGGATGTATACGAGTATTGCCAGCAATAGAACTGTTTAACCCCGTTAACAAAAATCCTTTTTCCTCCGAAAGATATAGTTAGGTAATTATGTATTTTATATTAGTTTTTCGCGACTTTGGCCGCGTGCAATAATTTTCAATAAGATTCTTATGTGTGAGAATACGAGTATAACCTACCTCTGTACCTCATTCAAATACTTTTGGATGTTTAAGCGAGATTTGCCAACAACATAGGGGTTTTTAAAAAAGGGGTAAAGAGGTCGGCAACACGCGCATAATGCCCTTGGTATTTTAGGCGTTCATATGTTACGGTAACCGTTTACCGTCAGGTCGACGATATGTTTTTCTGTCACCTCAGTGGTATAAAAAAATATCCAAACATGTTAAGACACTTTCATACTTTAATATTAGTAGGAAGAAGTATGCGACGGGTTCGCATATTATGATTGCAATGAATTTAATGGAGCCTTCCTATTAATAATTTTGTTATAAAATCAAACTGTAACTGCAATGATTCACCATTTAAACACACAATGATAGCCGTCTGCCATTTATATGATTTTTATAATTTTATTAGTAGGTGCCTATCTACAACAATTTATTCGCTTCATGTTTCCCTCCCACGTCACTGACGTCAGTAGATAAAATAAATATGGGACACGAAGACACGATATATACCCGTTTTATGATATCAAAATAAAATAATTCTTTGATTGTCTTCTATTTCGTATAGAAAGAGAGAGAGAGCTTTAGCTTCCTATCGTCTTAATTACTCAAGAGTGGTAGAAGTACAAATTCATCCGCATGGCAATTAGAAAAGGTATCTTATCCTTAATCCATGGACTGACATTGTCGTGTGTCAATTTAAAGTTTTTAATAAATTTTTTTGATATTAAACACCAATCTTAAACTATAATTATGTTAGATCACTTTGAGATAGGTTCAATTTTAATATGCTTCTCGAAGTATAAAGTAATAAGAAAATCGACAAATGAAATTATAAAGTTGATCTTATCTCCACTTTATTGATAGTGAAAAGCTATCTATACTAAAAGTAGTCTATGTCTTTCATTATTTCATACAGCAGTACGTGTATACCAAATTTCATAATGTGACTAATTACGACCATAGATTATGTTGATAAGATATTAAGAAGTAACAAATACTCACTTTTACATTAATAATATAATATTAGAAAGCATGAGTAAGGAAATTTGGTTAGGACAAGTTAGAAAGTGAGTGATACTAAGTATTACTTGCTAAAAGAATCATCTAACAGTACTACTTATTGTTTATTTTGATTACATAACACAACTCAATTACATAATGTCTGTTAGAAAACTATATCACATCTTATTTATGTAGAAAAATAATGTACAAATATCCTTTGATCTGAAAATTACTCATTAAATGGCAAAAGATGAAGGCTATAGAAATAATGTTATGTCGTCATATAATGAAATTAATGCCAAATTACCTGAAATTGATTTAGTGTATGATATTTCGAATTCCTACAGGAATAAATTGCTGAGGCACTTTGTACAACAATCTAATGAAAATTAACTCTAATTATCATAATATATATTTTTTTTAATATTTTTTAATTCAATTCACCCATAATCGTATTTTCTGATATTGCTCACAACTTAGGTTACATGTTTGTTTTTATTATTTACTTAATTTTCTTGCACTGTAGAATTATGTTAAAGTGAATGCTGTGAATACCTATAATAGGCATCTGCATTAATATTGTATTATATTTAATGTTTGTTATACCTATATGTTATAATGTAATATGCTGTTGGTGTTCCTTAAATAAATAAATAAATTTTCATATAAATCTCCGAACGTGTGCAAAGTAAATTAGAAATATACCTATATCTATAATAGATAAAAGAAAATAAAAAAAATATATTCCAGGACGTTCGTATTAATCGAAATGAGTTTTTACAATTTAATAATAGTCTCCCTGCAATTTTTCAAAAACATGCAAAATGGTGATCCTCGCAGATAGGTATAAAGAGGCAAGCTTACACGGTCATTTTAATAAACTTTAAATAAAGTTTTGAAGTATTTTTACATTTTGCACGTATTGAACTACTGCCTGCCTATCATTACTCTAATGTGAAAGGTTGGAGGATAATGTTGTTAACAGATTTTATGTGAAACTACCTGATGCTTGCGACTTTATCCGCGTGGTATTTGTTATTCCTGTTTAATATGTATTGATGTATGTACCTACATATTTATTATGTCTGGGAATACTGGACCAAAATTAACAAATGACGTGTCGTTCTCACCCTTTGCCTTAGTTCATAATGACTACTTAAGTAGGTTGTGTAAGTTAAGCTGTATAACTTACTATAGTTTTTTAACTATCCCATGGAAACTCTTTAATTTTCCGTGATTAACATCTATCTAATATATTGACTGGGGATGTAAGGTAACATGCAAAATTTCTTTTAAATCGGTCCAACAGTTTTGGAGATTAGCCCGTACAATCAGAGAAACAAAAACTTAAAAGAAATTTGAATGTGTGTGCTATTTCACTTCTAACATCCCCCTGACTCGATTTTTAGCGTTTATTTTCTATGTACAGACATTCGACCTCTATAGTTTTATTATATAGTTTAGTATAGATAATACTTACCTACCCATGAACCCATGAATGTGTGTTTAATAGCTAATTAAGGTGTAATAAAACACCACCTGCTGCTTATATGCCCGTATCATATACAGCGCCCACCTAACAGTGTTATTGCATCGGGCAAGCGTAATTGTATCCATGAAAATAGGTCAAAGCAATAAATGGGTCAAGGGAGTGTTGCAGGTTTACAATTCTTATATGAAACGATTATTTGTTAATAGTTTACAATTTCTTATAGTTTGACTTGGAGAAACTGCTTTCAGCTTAAGTTCCCTATTGCACTATATTCTTAATTCTTTTTATATGTTACTTGTATACTTGTCGAGTTTCGTAAAATGGCAATAAATTATTTAAAAAATGTCCAATTGTTATTATGTTTGTATGTATTGTGATTGCTAAGGGAACAAATTGGGAAACTGTTAAGCTCCCTTAGTTGTTAAATATAAATAAATAAATATATAAATAAATATGTAAATAACATAATTTCTTTGAAAATAAAACGTAGCATATGTTACTCGCTGACAATGTAGCTTTCTATAAGTGAAAGAATTTTGAAAATCAGTTAAGTATTTTTTTAGTTTATCCATTACAAAAAAAAAAAAACTCTTTATAATATTAGTGTAGCTACTAATTCATAAAACTTTTCGCAGTACTCTTTACACTTAACCTACACAATTGACGGGTTCTTACCATGATGCCACAGTAAATGGATATGATAATTTCCAGGAAAGATTGAGATTATAATCACAGATCATACAGTGGCGTTTATTGTCCTGTAATGTTTATTTTTATTAGAACAAACAAAGTTGTTTAAATTTGAGTACGATCAGTCCGAATTAGTCATCGAGGATTGTTAGTAAGATTTGGAATTAAGTACAAATTATGTAGTTATTGCTGCTATACTTTACTTTCTTTTTCAGAAATATAAAAGAACGTGATAATTATGACAAGCAATATTGTATTAAATTATAATGGATTCGAAAACATTTGCACTTAGGAAGTTGAGTTATCTATTTAGGTTGCTTATTAGCATATCAGAAGTATGGATATTCAAAAACAGCACTTATGTCCACGGTTGGTGGATTATCTAACTATAGTAGGCGCACGACCATATACTTCCGGCAAGGGTCTCGCTCCGGTTCAGGTATGTAATTGTATTTTTTTTTAGGACAATAAGTTTTTTACTTGATTGGCAAAGATAGGAAGAATGATTCGGATCTTTAGTACAATATGTACTCTAAATGCTTTATGAATTTTAATAAATGGTATATAGTTATATTCATCTTAATGCTGGGAATGCTATAGCTTACATGAGGAAAGCATAATATAAATATGTCGACCATAAAAGGCCTTCATAAAAACGTCTAATAAACCTATTTTACTCATACCTATAGAAATGTTTTCTCTTTTTTGTGCCAAATTCTTAATTTGAAACAAAATTAATAAACACTTTAAAACTTAAAATGTAGGTAATTTAGTAAAACAAGCTAGAATACGATGTCTTAATGGAAAATTAATATTTTAGTTGTATTATTATTATTTATCTTTTGTTACATAAATATTTAAAGGCAGTGTTATCAAAGTCGAAGTGATACCTAATGTTAGATTCTGTTACTCGCAGGCTCCCGAACTTCTTCGTCGGTATCCGCTCACTAACCACAATGATTTTCCGTTGCCGCTGGACATGGTATACTTTTGCCAGCCTGAGGGCTGTGTGTCGGTGGGACCGCGCCGCACACCCTCTCATCTCGCCACCAGGGATACCACATCTTTCGTTTTTACACTCACAGACAAAGATTCTGGTTAGAAATTAAGTTTCTATTTATTTATTTTTATATAGAGATTAATACAATTAAAAAAATTGTAAATAGAAATGGAATTTACCAAACTAAACTATATTAAGTCAAACTGTTTCTTTATAATGCGTAGTTTTCGGTTACTTGCTGAAATTTTAAATTTAAAATGGTGCATTACGTTGTTACCCATACATACCCATGACGTTGTATAAAATAGATAATAGAATTTTGTTTGATGAAGCTTTAAAAATAAGAGAGCTGCAACTACGTACGGATTAGATTTCTGTCACTATGTATTTTTATGAAACTAAACAAACAGATATATTATTATGACATTAACAAAGTTAGATATTTTTTGTCGAGGATTTTTATAAAGTTCGGATAAAAATAGAATATTGAAACCCTTTTCTTAAAGAGGAGTCAACGAAAAGGTTTTGCTTGCTAATTGGAGTGTATAGTAGTACATTACCGTAGTAGAATTTGTAAGATTGATATTTGTGTCGACTTCTATTGTTAAACAGTATTATCTTTCAATAGGAAAAACACGGTATGGCATCTGCGTTAACTTCTATCGAGCCGTGGAACGCGCCCCGGCACCGGGCCCGCGCGAGCGCAGTATGTTGCGCCGCGAGTCCTGGCGGAAGTCCATGGAGAAAAGTTCCGACTCCGCATTCTCCAGGTGAACATTAATTACTTCTGTTAATCCTCGTCTTTGAGTTTTAGGTTCTACATTCTAAAAATGTTTAAGGAAAAGATAAATGTTGATGAATTATTTATATGGTGTAATAATAATAAAATATATTTCAAATTCTTTATACGTGGAACACTGTATTCATATAGGCCACATTTTTAATGAGCAGTGGCAGTCGAAGAAAAAGCACTAGTAATTGAATTTGTGACTTTTTCAATTTATATTAAATTTTAAATTTATTGTTAATATACACTACTGACATGGTGCACAAATAGTGTTAATAATCTAAAAAAATGTATAAAAGCTTTACCTTATTTAAGTAGATCAGTTATAATAAATAGCAGCCGTTCACGAGTATGACGACAGAAAGTTAAATCAGACTTTCGACTAAAACATAGCGAATGTTCCAGTGACTATAGGAGCAGCAACGTGGCGCCGAGTGACTCGGAGCGCGACTGCAGCGCGACGCTGGGCCCGCGGCTCGCCGCCGCGCCCGACTCCGAGAGCGGCGGCTCGCATTCCCCCAGCCCGCGGGCCACAAGGAAGCGCCAGGTAATATGAGTATTGCATTAATTTTTTTATGCAACTAAAAATGGCGGACAAGTTAACAGCCTACTTGATGGAAAGTGGTAACCGTAGCCAATAGACATGAACAATAATATGGACATAACAGAGTATAGTATATATACTGTTTCGCCCATGATACTCCCACGCGTTGCCGTTCCTAATGATTAATGGTGTTATACCTCTGTACCCTGTAATCTTACTGTCAAATCCTACATCTCAGGAAGGATAAGCAAGCTGAAATGGTAATGGGCTGGTCACATAGCTCGAAGAACTGACAATCGATGGGGGAGAAAGGTTTTTGAGTGGCGACCGCGGACGGGTAAACGCAGTGTAGGACGACCCCATACTATATGGAGTGACGACCTGAAATGCATTGCAGAGAGCCAGTGGATGCAGTTGGTTCAGGACCGTTTTTTATGACAGTCTATGGAGGAGGCTTATGTCCAGCAGTGGACGGATAATGGCTGAAATAATGATTATCCCACCCTTAATTTTTTTTTAAGTTTTTAGTAATATTCGAATTGCGTTACGTAAATAATATTCTCATCTATAATTTCCTGTAAGATTATACGTGCATATAAGTACTAAAATAAAATATAACATAAATAAATATTTTAGTTTACAGGCTTTGGTATTAAAATTGTGTAATATTAATACTTACTTACATCAAAGTCTTATCTCTTTGTTGCAGAGAATTAGAAACCATTCGTTGACATCTTTGTGTCTTCTATCACATCATCCATTCTTCTCCACATTCCGAGAGTGCCTATTTATCCTTAAAAAATTAATAGATGCATGCAACGAGTCTTCCAGTCCACGACGTGTCGGTGCGTCCAGACAAATATTTAGGTAAATCACCTACATTTTTTACTTAACGTAATTTTTTTATCTTTTCCTTTGTTTGCATATGTAATTTCTTTTCCAGAGATACTGTATGGTCAGTGTTAACAGGCCAAGCTTACGACAACACACCGACTATAGTCTTACACGATGTGAAAGAAATAGAAACATGGATCCTCCGTCTCCTTTCCGCACCTGTGCCTGTACCTGGAAAGACGAGGATTGAGCTGGAAGTTCTGTCGCCTACTGCCCATGCACCGTTATTATTCGCGTTACCCGATCATACTCGTTTCGCATTGGTCGATTTTCCGCTTCATTTACCTTTGGAACTTTTAGGTAAGTAAGATAAATAGAGATAGATTTCATTAGGTATAAAGATATAATAATAAAAAACTTAATTGTATAAAACAAAATAAGGTGTTACCTCTGCTGGCCTTATCTTTAAATAGCAATGTATATGGTTTTAATGAAATAAGTAATACAAAGATAATAAACTTATAAAAAAAAAAACTATTATTATGATTAAATATTTGAATATCGATTACTGACTAACCAGTTAATTAAACTTGATACTTATAAGTAAAATTTGAATTTTCCTTTATAAAAGATAAATCTTTGAATAGTGTGACGTTATAAGAAAATTTAAAACATTTTATTATGTATTATGAATCTTATATCTTATGAAGTTACATAAAAATATATTCATTTTCAAATTGTTTTTGGCAGGCGTGGATACGTGCTTGAAAGTTCTCACATTGATCCTGTTAGAAAACAAAGTGGTGGTCCAGTCGCGCGATTACAACGCACTCTCGATGTCTGTAATGGCGCTAGTTGCGATGTTGTACCCACTCGAGTACATGTTTCCGGCGATACCGCTGCTACCCAGTTGTATGAGCTGTGCAGAACAATTGCTTCTAGCGCCCACTCCGTTTTTAATAGGAATCCCGGCTACATTTCTCACGTATAAAAAGAATTTCAGGTAAGCACAAATAAATATATAAAAAAATATAGATTGTATTCATCATCATCAACATATCAGCCTTTAACTGTCTACTGATGAACATAAGCCTCCCCTTAAAGGGTTTTGCCAGTAGTTGCCACGCTTGGCAGGCGGATTGGCAACCGTAGTAGGGCTTTAAGAGATGTTTTAAGAGGGACGCTGCTGCCCATCCCTCGCTCTCCCTTAATCGACTCTTACGACACCCACGGAATAGGAAGGGGTGGCCTATTCTATGCCGGGACCACACGGCCATATATTATATGGCCATAGATTGTTTTGCTTGATCTTATTATGCTAAAGCTGCATAGATAAAAATTGACAAATTATGGCAAATGAACTGACGAACATAATGAAAAATAATAACTGAACAGCACTACCATTATATTTCAAAAGATCCATAAGTTGATGTGTAAATTTTAACTACCTATCTATAAAAAAAAACTTTCATTTAAGTTTTTTATGTATTTCAACAGATTACCAGACGACATATGGCTCGTCGATTTGGATGCCACAAAATTAATAAGTCCCACAGGCAACGATCAAGATTTACCCCCTCTACCCGAACCTGAGGGTTCAGTACTAAAGAATCATTTGAAACAGGTACACTATATTTTTTATATCATTGTTTATGTCGAGACAATTATACATTTTTCTTAAACATTATAAATACTTATCACTTATCTTTCTCTGATAAATGCACTCGTGAGCGCATTGTTCTCGATGTCGCTAAACTGCTATGTCAAGTGTATGCATCTTCAATATAAAAAAAAATGTGCTATATGGCAGGCAACTAACGTGTCAGCTTACAGGTCAAGATAAATAAGTTATTCGTTTATTTCACCTTCACAATATTTTGTTGTTATGAATATTTTACATGAGCAAATAATTATAAGTGTTTGTTTAGAATTCTATATTTTAATATTATGCTACACTTCATGTAATGCAATTTATAATTCACTTCGATATATCACTATTTTACACCTAGTGTCACCTTTATTTATCTTGGCCTTTAAATTTTTTATACACTTATACAGATTACTGAAATAAGATTTCTTTCTAACATACTCCCCTCACTTCTCTCTTCATCGCTAGGCCATGCAACTCATGGGAAGTGCCGGAGCTGGTGTAAATATTACTACTCTTTTTACATTGCACACTTTGAATTTAATTCACTCAATTTAAACAATTTGTGCCAATGAAAATGTTCTGAACCATCATTTAAAATAAATATAATAGTATAACTATATATATATATATATATATATATATATATATATATATATATATATATATATATATATATATATATATATATATATATATTTTTCTAAAAGAACGATGACTTACACTTCCGTTGTTTTCTGAGATAGATATTGAGTAATGGTGTTTTTTATTAAATAATTTTTAAATAATGTAAATAAATGTTTTAAAAGGTGGTTCAATTTTGACTGAAATACGTGTTAATTAATAACAAAATACACTTCACAATAAACTTACTATAAATATAATATAGATATCTGTATAAGATATTAACATAATTGCATGTAGGTAGGTATGTAGGTATACATAACACAATTTCAGTCAAATTAGATACTGCGTTATACGGCATGGTTAACTGTTGTGAAAGTGTTGTTTGTTATACTATATAATATGTATATATTTTTTAAGGAATGTATACAGGTATGAAATATATGAGTAGTGACGAAAAGCTTTATTGTTATGTGTATTTATATATTTAATAATATTTTGACAGTAGCGTGATTTGTCTTTGGTTAATGCGTAACAATGAAACATTATACATTTCCAGCTAGTTTTAATCGCACACGTAAAATTTTACGAAAATTAGTTCTGTATTTTAAGCTCCCGCAGCTTAAAATGTTTTTATATATTGATTTTAAGCCAGCCTGTATATCGCCTTATATACAATTGGAACCTACTATTTCAATTATCAAATGCTACGCTATTGAGATTTTTGCATTATGTATATAAGTATTGAATCAATGATTCACTCTAAATTTATACGAAAATATATAAAAAAAAATATACAATTTTAAGCTTGTTATAGAGAGTGCTCAAATGAAATAACGCACATTCTAAATCTTAAAAATTCGGATTTTCTTTTTCACTAAGAGTAGATCAATTTTAAGAGTTTTTACAATAACTATAATACTGATTTTATATTAAATATTATAGACTATTAAATACTTGAAAACAGTAATACTTATTTACCATAGCAAAAAATAAAAATACTTTCAGTTTTAGTTATAAAAAAAAAAACAGGATATTAAACTACTCTTAGTATACGAGAACAATAATAAATAAACGTACTATAACTACGCATTTGGTATCTGACGTTGCGTTATTTCATTTACGTGTATGAAATCGCCAATTCTCAATTTTTTTTATTTATATTAAAGTTTCAATATTTTTTTTATTATTGGATACCAGGCTTTGAGCAGTCTGACGAATAGTACTGCAGAACAAGCGACTGCGCTATTGATGCCATCCAGGCGAGACAGTGTCGGCGGAGCCACTCTCAAGTAAGTAATTATATTATGGCATTAAAATATGACGTGACGTTAATTCTATTTACGACCGACTTTAAAAAGAAGGAGGTTCTAAAATCTTTTGAACATAACTCCGCCTATTATAATTCGATTTAAACTTTTTTTTTATCTGGAATAATATACTTATAGATTTTATCAAAATCGGTTTATGGTTATTTTAATACTAGTGGTTGGTTAACTAATTTTAAATTATATTGTTACATACAATTTATAATTTATAACAGTAAATTACGTATCGACAACATAAACCAGGCAACGATTATCAGATAACATTGGCACGGCTAAGAATAGAATTCTACGTTGTGAAAGTAGGTAAGGTATACTTTAACAAAATATATGGGCGATTTAAAAATCTCCTTTACGTCGGTCGTTCTAAATTTGAATTTAATTGTAAAATGTCGTCTACTAGAGTGCAGCAGGCGTCGTTCAGATCTTCAAGCGATGGTGCGCAGTCGGCTCCACACAGCACGCCGGAGAGTCGGCGCGTGTCGCTAGGGGGCGGCGGCGGCGCCGCGTCTGCCGGCCACACCCCGCAGCGGCTGTCGCTCGCCTCGCCACACCAACCGCACCAGCCCCACCAGGGGCAACCGTTCAACCCGCTCATATATGGCAACGACGTGGACTCTGTCGATGTCGCCACTAGAGTTGCTATGGTGAGTAACTTATAACATTAAGAGGTCCTCTTTGCTAAGACTTTATTATGTGCTTGTTGTGGCATGTAGGTACATATTTACTTTAATGATGTTGAAGTGTTATGTTCTCATAGTCTAAATATCTGGACGGATGTACAGGGTGGAGGGAATAACTAAATATATTATTACATTGTTTTATACTGGAAAGAATTTCCACTGGTTTTCAGTTTTTGCCAACCTGCCTGTTACACTGTATATATATAGTTCTGTTTAGTATGGGACTAGATGGTACGGTGTAATATATATTGTGATGTTTATTTATTTAATAACTCCTCGAAATTAAATATTGAAAGTACGCGCGCAGATAATTTATACGACGAATAATTAAAATTACACATATTAACAAAATCCTTTTTAGATTTAAACTTAAAAATTGATTTGATTTTTACTTATTGGTGACAGGTCCGTTTCTTCAACTCACAAAACATTTTGGCCAATTTCATGGAGCACACGCGCACGCTACGGCTGTACCCGCGGCCCGTGGTCGCCTTTCAAATCAACAGTTTTTTACGATCCCGGCCGAGAACCACGTCATTTTTAAACAAATTTGCTAGAACACAGGTCAGTATCATTTTATATAAATTTTATTATTGGATTAACTATCTGAAATTTCTAACAATGTAGGTGTAAGTTTTATAAAGAAATGTATTTCAGCTTTGTGAAATCCAAAAACCTACATAATCATATGAATGCAGAATACATCTAATAAAAATATGATTGCAGCGGCTGGATTTATAAACTTTTTGAGAAAATAATATATTTTCATACACACTGTAATCTTATATAATCTAAGGCTGTAATATAGCATGTATTTCATAAAATGCAATCGATAACAATATATTACAATGCGTCATGTTTGGGACGAGCCTATTCTTTTGACGAGATACGCGATTAATAAATCCTTTTTTTTTTCTTAATTAATAATACAGAAAATAAGATCTTGTTAAATAACATACTCAAACATCTGTTTTATACAATATCGAAGGCGGTGGAGTTCCTAGCGGAGTGGTCCCTGACGCCGTGCAACGTCGCGTTCCTCCGCGTGCAGACGGGCGTGTTCGACCCGCGGCAGATCGGCGACAAGCCCAAATGGTTCGCCGACACCTTGCAGCCCATTCGATTCGCGGTCTGGGACGATGGCAGTTCACTCAACGGCGCTTTGAGACAATTGCAACGACAAGAGAACCAGCCTACTGGTGAGTGTAGATTAATTTCATATTATTCTTTCCAACAACTGCCGATAGAAAAAGGTATAAGGATCTTTAGGACAAATTATCATCATCATCATATCAGCTTTTAACTGTTCATTGACGAACATAAGCCTCCCTCTTGGGAGATTTTGCCAGTAGTTGCCATGCTTGGCAGGCGGATTGGCAACCGCTGTCAGGCTTTAGAGATGTTTTAAGAGAGACGCTGCTGCACATTCCTCTGGGGGCTGGTGGGCTCTATACCGGGACCATATGGCCAAGGACAACATATAGTGCTTGATAAATTTTATGAATATGGATCTGACAAGAGTTTAAATAATGCCTAAAATAGTTTTGTGATCTTGTAAGGTTTTCTTGATCGTAAAAATTATCATCAATTTTCTTTATTCATCAAGAAACATAACATATAGGGAAACGCTGACGTTTTGTGGATTGCATAGTATTGTGATGTTCATGTCTGTAGGCAATGGTTTTATCATTAAGTAGTGCATAAACTAGAAAAGGTCGGTAGGATAATGATAATTTTATATACATATATAACTTTGCTTGCTAACACATTACGTGTATCAAATACGAGATATTTATTTGATTGGCGTCAGTAGTTCAGTAACACTTTGCTGAGACCTAAATACAAAAAAAAGATATTTTTTAGTCATGAACGCTTTGTAATTCAAACGATCTTTCCCGTCGTGGTAGGATAACGAACCTCCACGCTAATGCAGTGACTAGTTTATTCGTCACCTGTTATCAACGTATGTATATGAAAAACAGAGTTAACTCGTCACCGGTCAGCAAAGTGTTAATACAATTATTTATATTTACAGATGAAAGTGGTTCAGATTCAGAAGCCGCCGAGAGCACAAGTTCCTCATACTCATCACTGAGTGACTTTGTTTCCGAAATGGTGTCATCTGACTTATCACCTGGTACATATATTATATATTTAATAGTCTATAATTATACCGTAAAATTAAAATGTTTACAAATCGCAAATCCGGCAATGCCTTCCATTTTCAATTGTCGATGATATTCAATCTTAGGAGAGTGCCTGCGTTTTACTTTACAACGGAAAGTCAATATGATTGTTTATCGCCATGTAATTAACGGTCTATTCCCACGAACAATAAATGCTTTTTGTTGTTAGGGGGGTAAAGAGGTTTCTTCAGGGTAACGCGCGCATCATTGCAGGCGTTCATGTCATTGGTGCTTGTTTGCCACCTCAGTGGCATAAAAAAAAAAAAAAACATAGCAATGCCTTCCATTTTTTTTCGATATTCAATCAAGTGCCTTTTTACTTTAAGAAAGTCTTGTTTATGTGTAATTAACGGTATATTAATAAATGCTTTTTGTTGTTAGGTGGTAACCATCAACATGTCATTGGTGAAACTTATAGCGCTGTGGTACAAGTCCCAATGACTTTGTCATCATCATTAGATCCGAAAACCGTAAGTAACTGTACTAGTATATTTCATTAACTTTCCAGAAATAAATTATATTGTTTTTTATCAGTAGTTTGAGATTTAATTTCTGCTTATTTTTGTAATTTTTTTTCTATATACCAAGTGTTTGATTGATTGATAATACGACAATTAAATGTATAGTCATTTTAATGATCAGCGGTCATTGCAATTAATTTGTACTGTCAAATATTACCTTTCAAACTACAACAAATTGAGCAAGTCAATTAAGGGCAAAATATATGGGCTACAACAATCGAACAATAAAAATAGTCTTTTGACACTGAATAGTAATTGGCCACAAAAATTACCATAACGAATTGAATTTGTTTGGATTTTTTCCAATAAATAATAGTAATGGTAAATCCGCTTGCGCTATTGGTTAAGTTGTTGTGTAATTTTTTTATTTATTCTTAAAGAATAAAACAAAAAGTCTTATCGCTACAGCAATCTCTTCTAGAAACAAAGGTTTTGTATAGAGGAAAATGGTAACTATTTGGCGCAAGAAGTGTATCTATATATAATATATTGTTTGCTGTGGGGCCCTATTACTAATCCCTTACTCTCGAATTGGCGGGAGTGTCATCATTTTTGTTTGTCATGTCCGCGGTGTGTGCGTAGGTGTACAGCCCGCCGTCATCGCTGCTGTTCGGCGAGGAGGCAGAGGCGGGAGAGGGCGGCGAGAGGGGGACGGGGAGGGAATCTACGTCTCCGTCGCCTTCGCCGTCTAGCTCCGAGCACAGCGAGCTGTCCGACGACGAGCCACCCGCCCGCGACCACGCGCCCCGCGACCATCCGCTACCCGTTAAGAAAAGCGTAAGTCTAACACTACATTAGATCGATCATCGCTGACAGAACGCCAATACATCGAATTGTAAATAGTTTGATATTCTCAATCATACTGTGCGTAATAGTGGTCATTACATCGACGTAACAGCCACAGAAGGCTAGCGCCTGGCGTATGTTCGGTCGTTAGCGTTATGTTGAAGGTATTTTATGTGTATATATTACATATTTGTTTATATTCAATGGATGACATATTTTTTGGACCACAAATCTTTAATCCACAGCATCAGGATACAAAATGTTGCAACATGAGAAAAATATTTTTCAACAGATTTTCTTTCATCGAATTGAAACATATTTCGACGTGTCAAACAATTTTCGACTTATTTATGACGTCGTGACGTCGCTTCACAGCTTTACACTTAGTACAATGCACGCTTACGCTAAATACACGCCCTCATACACTACTTAAAGGCTTCAAGGCTCTGGACTGAGATTCCTATAGGAGATGAATTATGCGATACTCGATTTCGAGTTATGTTTATGAATAGCTCGGAAATCCGTATTAGTGTACTTTCACGCCTTGATAGTGACTTCACATAACGATTTGATACAGAATAACTGACAGTTAGAAACTGGCTGTTTAAATAAGAATTGATAAAGCCCGGATCCACAGGTGTGTGTGAATAACGCTATATGCGGGATGTTAAAATTTAACAAATAATCACAGTGTTGTAACTCTAAATTACTTGGTTAATGCTTTGGGTTTCATAACTCTTGGCTCAATCATAACAATGTGTTAAACGACTTTATGGATATCATATTTCCTAGGTTTGTAAGTACCTATTTATATATAGCGTGAAAGCAAAACATAAGTACGTAAAATTAAGAACCTATCCATGCTAGAGGACAGAAATTACGCAAAATAAAAAAAAAAAACACGACAAAAAACATTGAGTATCACATACTGAATGGGAGCTTTGAAATTGTTTATTATTGTATTTTTCGACCGATATTTTTTAATATTCAGTTTCGCTGGTTAAACACTCTCTTCAAAGGATTCTATAAATTTGGATATAACTAGTAGTATTTATTTATTTATTTATTTACACTTTATTGCACCAAGTAAAAAGAGAAATAACAAATACAGTAAATATTAATAAGAAGTGATACAAAAGGCGGCCTTATCGCTAAGCAATCTCTTCCAGACAACCTTTGGGTAGAGGACATTGAGAAAAAGACAAAGAGTAGGTGGCGCACTATTATTGTAGTACTCGTACAACTAGTAGTAGTGTAGCGTATAATCGCTATGTGGCTACGCACCTAGGACACAGACAGCGGCAGTTTTGGGCGGGAGTCGGACTCGAACTCGACGACGACACCCAAGACGGTAGTGAGCCGGCAGCGGGCGGCCGCCGACAGCGCCAGCACCAGCGACTCGGAGCGCGCGCTCACGCCCTCGCACGCCTCGCTCGCCTCCGTCTCCGCTTCCGCTCCCGCTTCCGCCTCCGCCTCCGCCTCGCACGTGCCCTCGCATCACTCGCACGTGAAGGTCTGTCACTGAGCACCGCATTTGCACATCCGACACTCCAATACTCGTATAATGCAATTTGAATAAGAATAGATACATCGAAGACCTCGCACTTACATTAGCAGACGTCATTTGTAGAGCTTTTCTTCAGTAAAAGTACTTATAACACGATGCTACGACTAGGCAGTAATTTAAAAAATCTCTTTTAACAATAGGCATATATGATTACTTATATAATTCATTACTAATAATATTTTCTATAATTTATATAAAAACATAATATATAATGTATTTGACAAAACATGACCAAAAGTTTTATCTGTTTTTTTTTTTGTTCGCGTCATATATCATTATCGTTCTCGATACCCATACTGTACACAAAGAAGTAGACTATCGACCATCACGCTAATTTGCATTTTTTAGACATTTAAAATTGTTATCTATGGTAGATAAAATAATACAGTTTTATTACTGTTTACAGAGTACGAGCAGTGGTGTATCCCGTCAAGCGTCGCAAACATCACTACTGGAACAGTTTGCGGCTCAAGCTAAAGAGTTAGTGCGAGAGACCACCCGTCAGAGCAGTCAGGAAGGGATACTCGCGCATATGGACAAGGTAAATGAATTTGTTGTTTACTAAATAATAGTCAGTGTGATGTGATGTGTTATACATTGCTTCGTTATTGTCAATTCTCTAAAGCGAGTGCCTATGCAGCAGATTTGGTATTGCGATAAAATTTTATTTAATAAACGTCAAATTAATTAATGACTTTTTTGCTTATGAGAAAACTACAATAATCATTTAGAAACCCAAGCAAGAAAGCAAGTAATAAAATAAAAAATACCGTCATATGATTTACAAGTACAAACTTTAAATTTTTCCATCACTATGTTTTAATTTCTGCGGATCATTATTATTAGGAGAATCTTTTTATTGTTATCAAAGTTTTCGCTTTAAAAATCACCATATCTGCATAGGTACCCTCTTAATTGTATTGTTTACTGAATTATTATTGTTCAACCTATATGTATTTTAATTGTATTAAATATTACTTTATCTACACCAAATTTTGAAGAAAGGAAAAGTGGCAGACGTAGAAGACAAGAAAATATTTGCGCCTTTTGGTCAGGTATCGAGCACTGAGTGATCACGCAACAAGATCTAGTAGAGTAAATTTAATTGTAGAAATAGATTACAACTTATTATTTTTAGCTTGAGTTCAGTAGCTGTTATTTTGTTTAAGGAAATTTATGTAACTACATTTTCTTCACATATAAGGTAATTAGGTAGTAGGTACTAGTGTCACAAAACGTTTAAAATCGCAGTACAATCGGCTCTTTTATTGCAATTAGTATATGCCACGGTATCGCTGGGTAAGTAGCAATAACAAATGAGAACACATGCCACAGATTGGATTTTCAATACAGCATTTTGCTTTGCTTGTAATAACATTTATTAAGTAATGCTTGGCCATTTAGAAGGCATTATTTTCTTTTTATTAAAAGATAAATATCGTTTATAGAAAATAAATACGTGGATATTAATACTGCCAAAAATTATATTCAGTGCTTTTAAAAGAAGGTAATTTAGAGTCATATTTTATATTACCAAAGTTTCACTCTAAAAAATGAAAAAAAAAATCGTATTATTCGCAACATGAAAAACACCAATAAACCTACTTGAACTATTTGTATTTTGTTACTTTCAAGTTAAATAAGAATTTAACGGGAATGAAAGAGAAATACATTGCAGTAACAAAAATGGGTTTATTTGACTTCTAATATCATCATATAAATAAGACTATAATATAAAACAGTACATGACAAAAGAAATACATAGTTATATAATTATGATTCTAGAAATTTTGTTTACTTATTATGTTATTACATATTTTTTCTAGTTAACCCTTCACGCCAAGAAGGCAGCTGAGGAAGCATCGAAGAGCATGCAGGAAGCATCTAAAACTGCATTAGAAGCAAGCAAGACTGCCACCGCGGTTAGCAAAAACACATTCGAAGACCTTACTTACGTAAGCAAGTCTACATTTGGAGATCTAACGAAGAGCGCTAAGGAGGCGGCTGCCAAGAAAGGACTTTTGATTAAGGTATAATTTCATTAATATTAGCAATATATATTATATATACAATATTTTCCGAAGAATCAATACATAAATAACGTGCACATTCTTTGCTATGGATAACAAAATGAATTTGGCTTGATCTCTTATATATTGTCTGGTTGATTTATATCCTATAAGATAGATATATTTGCTGTATGGTCCCAACACATAATGGGCCACCCTTTCTCGTGGGAGATGAGGGATTGAGGGATGGATAGCAGCATCCCTCTTAAAACATCACCAAAGCCTTACTGCCGTTGTCAACCTGCCTGTCAAGATTGACAATTACTGGCATAACCCCTCAATGGTAAAGGTCGTCTATGGGGGAAGACGAAGAGAGAGAAAGTTCAGTAATGGACAGTTGACGGTTGATATGATGAAGGCAAGTATATGTATGGGTAGTAGTGTATACCTATATAATATGACCCATACATGTCTTATACGTAAGTGCCCACTTACGATCTTTTTTTTTACACAACTTAGAATGACAAACAAGCTGACGGCCCACCTGATGGAAAGTGGTAACCGTCGACTATAGACATGAGCAGTACCATGGACGTAACAGAGTATACTGTTTAGCCCATGATACCCTCCATGCGTTGCCAGTCCTGGAACTCAGGTGTTATTCCTCTGTACCCAGCAAATTCACTTAATACTAAATTAGATACATATTGTGGGCGACAAAGGAAACCAGGAATTAAAATTGGAAATATATGTATAATGGTCAAAGGAACTTAGAAGACTAGGGCCGTGAAGGCAAGCCAAAAGGAAACAATAGATATGCGTGTCAATTTCGAATTTGGTAAATAATAATATATAGCTATAAATAATATATGTGGCCTGTACTCCACACATATATAGAATAAATATAAACACTACAACTAAAAGAAAAAAGTATATAAATTCTCTGATTGTTTTTAGTTCACTTTTACGTCTACACAGTTTTCCATTATAAATCTTTATCAATAACAGGGAGAGAGTCAAGACTTACCCGGCGGTGTGAATGCGCGTCGTGATTCTACCGCATTACAAACTACTAATTTGCTAACAGCGACACATCGAGACTTCTTTTCCAACATTAGTTCCGATTTAAACGGCCTTGCGGCTTCTACTTCCAGTATGTTCAGCGACTTCTTCGGTTCTAAAGGTATTTTGCAATCATTTCTTTCTGTTTGTTGCCTCTAAGAAGTGTAGTTAAGTTACTGAAATTTTATCATAACAAGAATTATAAATCTTAGTAAATTACTGGATAATAAACCGTGATCTCCGTAGGTATATAAAATAATTGTTATAGTTTACAACAGTCTCATTCATAGTTGGTTTTGTTTTGAAATAAATTATTTTATCTCGTAGCATTATTTTGAAATACTTTTAGATTTATTATATGAATCTATTTGTATTTTCAATATAATTGTCAATTTTAAGGACTGATTGATGTATTACCATAAATTCTTTAAAAATCTGATAACTTTAATAAATTTTAACAGATTTCTGTCTACTCTGTAAGTCGGAATCTAGCTTGAAGATAGATATATATTTTGTTATAGTTAATATAATTAGTAAATTTTTTGTTTCATAATAATGATAATTCATAAAAAAATATTGTCTACCCATTAATTTGATTACTAAGATGTAACGGTGCGCCAGATGAAGTTTCCAACTTGTTATACAGGCAAGCAAGCGAAGCCCGGCGAAGCTGGACGCGGCGCGGCGGCGGCTGGCGGCGCGGCTGGCGGGGCGGCGGCGGGCGGCGGGGCGGCGGCGCTGGCGGCGTCGTTCGGTCCGTTCTCGCAGGGCGCGCGCGGCCTGGTGGCGCGGTCGCCGCTCGTGCGGCACGCGTCGCCTACGCCCGCGCCCGAGCCGCCGCACCACCGCCCCGCCGCCAACACCGAGAACCAGGCCTTCCTTAACGACGTGCGTACAAACACCTTACCTATTTACAGTCACAGTCCGTCTCCCACGTCTTCCTGAACGATGTGCGTATGCGCATCCGCTTTCGGTCATTGTAGGAGAGGCGGGGATTGTTAGTAACGGAGACTGATGTGCCCATTGCTAACAATATATTTCTCTATCAGGTCAACCTTCACACACATTGTGCGAAACATTTATTAATGAATATAAAAAGCAGACTATATTCCTAATGTGTATAACGCGACCTGCAGTCTATTTTGTCATCCGAATGACTAGTATGAATTCTCGTTGAAGTTATTTTAATGAAAAATTCTAGCTATTATTTGTTATAATCTTTAACATTCCTTATATGTATTTCTTGCTAAACATGATTTAGAGAAAATATTTAAGTAAAAACTATCAATAGATTTGTCTCCTTTATTACAAGAATATTTATGATATGTCATTAAAATGGTAATCTGATAAAATAGGGTAAAAATACTATATTTTACACACAGCTTATGAAATTTGAATATTTATGTTCTTACAGCTTGTGCAACATGTTTTGGAAGGCGAAGGTGTGGGCTGGTTAAAATTAAATCGACTTAAAAAATTGATGGAAGACGAATCTTATAGAAATATGGTGCTCAGTAAACTAAATAGAAATTTCAACAGAAAAGCTACTCCAAGTGACAAAGTCGACGACGTGGTTAGTAGTTCAGAATTATTGTTCAATATAGTGTGAAACTGTTTTTATAACAAAGAAATTACAGGCTACAGAGGCGTAACACCTTAATCCTCAGGAATGGCAATGCATGAAAGGGTATCATGGGCCACACAGTATACTTTGTAATGCCCCTGGTACGTTTATGTCTATAGGCGACGGTTATCACTTTCTATCAAGTAGGCCTTTAGATTGTTTGCCATTCTAAGTTGTATAAAAACCTCATGACTGTAATTCCTGATTACCCGAGTCAGAAACGTTTGTCGACAATTATTTTGTGGTGAATGTAATACTCGAATGTTTTACATGGTAGTTTCGGGACCTTATTTTGCTCACCGCCCTCTTTGCCTATATCTTTATTTAGAGTGCGCATTCCATCTTAATTTTCCTTACCCTCTATCGCGAATGTAAAACGGCTTTTGCCACAATTACATTTAAATAATAAATTTCTTAAATTTTCTCCGGCTCTTCTACTCCGCTCCTGAAAGTCTGTAATGTTCACGAAAGGCGTTATGGCCTGCATTAAGAACCTACGTTTTACACTAGTGCACGCATCATTGTACTTTTTTATTTTCAACGCGAACATTGTTCGGCAGTTCATAAGCAAGCCAGTGTGGAAGGGCATGCTGAAGGTGCTGCAGGCGGTAGTGCACGGGCTAGAGCACACATACTCCAATTTCGGGCTGGGCGGCATGGCGTCAGTGTTCCAGCTGGCCGAGATGGCGCACACGCACTACTGGAGCAAGGAGCTGGCGGCACTAGACGGTGCTGGTGCCTCAGCTGCCGCCGCCGCCGCTGCACTGCTTGACTACCGCCACGATCTCGACACACCCTCCTCCTCCTCGCCTTCCTCCCGGAAAAGCTCGCAGCCAGGTCATTATTTCTACATTTTCAACAAGTTCAGCAAATCTTATTAAAAATAAATTTTTAGAAAGTTATTCGTAATCTTATCGCTGCGGTTATTTTCAAATAGTGCCATTTATTTTATCGTTAGTAACGTATCAACTGAGTTGACAAAATATACATTCTACGCCATTTTGTGACAGCAGCCGTTTTATATTATATTTAAAAAGGTAATATTGAGTACTGTATATTGTTTTGTCACCAGAACTAAAGGAATACGCAATATTTTAGAGAAACTGGTTCTAAAAAAATAGTTTTCCTTTTCCAGTAGTAAAAGAAAAATATAAAACACTTATCATTCCATAAGAAGAATGATATTAAAAGCTCATGTTTTCAGATATAAGAGTTTCTAAGGGGGACAGCCCCTTGATAAATCATCGTAATATTTCAAATGAATTTGACTTTAATTTTTATTAATGATAAATATAAGTGTTTTACTAATCTTTAACTATTTTTAACTCCTAGATATCCCGATCGTTAACTATCCCGACATGGATTCAAGCGAAGCCCAGAGTACGACTGAAATGTTCAAAGACATGTTGAATCAAAAGAGGAATTTTCTCTTCAGCAAACTTACTTCTTTTGACTCAGATGTAAGTAGCATATACACTTATTATGGATAATTACAATTAATGTCGTAATATGTTGCATGGTGAAGGATGTATGTTGACCATATTGCTCTCAACAATATTTGTGTGTGTTGATTAACTATACTCTCTTGAGCATGTATCGGATTACGTCAGCTTCAATATATTAACTCAAAATCTATGATTTATGACTATTTTAACATGGTGTAATATATATTTTTTATAGTTAATGTATAAATAGCAAAATGATTGATTGTAAACAATAACGCAAACAAATTACACTATTTATTTATTTAGTATATAATGGACAGTACCTTCTGTTTATTGGAACAAAAAGTTCGCATGTTATTTCATCGTTCTATTTTCATTATAATACTTTTTATTCCTTTTTTCTTTATTTTAATGATTAACAAATAGTAACATGTGTGTAAGCTAAAATTATCTTTTAAAATTATACATAGTTATACAAAATTATCCCAATGGTATGATAGAGGATTTATTTTCAATTATTAAATGTAATAAATACTGTTAGTAAAGAAATATTTACTAGAGTAATTGATTTGTGGAGGATAAACGATTGGTGATCCTGTTCAAGAATTTAATTTGTAAACATATAATCGTTTACACATATGATACTAATTTTAATTTTATTATGAATGTATTATGAACGTGGTGGATAATTTTGAGAAGCATCCTTCTTTAATAGTCATACTACATAAATGTATAACTAAGTATAGTGTAAATAAAGCATATGCTATCTATATTTATCTGAATGTTTCATGGCCGTTTGCGCTATACGTGATGTATGTATGTATTCGAAATGATCCATCATCAATATACGTACAGTAGAAGTGATGGGCAGTGAAGAATGTGTCACGTTCGCTTAACGTTTGTGAAGGTTATCTGAGCGAAGGTATTTGCGTGTTTGTATGCGTGGCAGGCGGCGCCCTCGTCCGATTGTTCGGCCGACGAGAGCGGCTCCATCACCACCAACCGAGCTAATCTCTTCGACCACCGCGCCTCCTTTAAGTCCAACCTCTCTGATACTGACGTCATGTTCCTCAATGTAAGTCTTAGTGCGTGTTGTGTGCTTCAGGCCTACCACAGATGTAAACGCAACTTTTTCAATTGATTCATGTAATTGTATTTGAAAGATATTTTTTATAATTTTCAATTATAGTCTACCTATATTTGAACGAATTTATAGGTACAGAATAGTTGCCTTCATAGTCTGTTCAACGTCATGTAGTCATCGCTTTCATAATTTGCCAAATAGCCATTTCAGTTTGGAACTTGGATTTGTGATATATGAATATCGGCTACTTGCCTCAGTTCGCATGGTTCATTGTATTTAATAAATGTTACTAACTAATTCTAGGTCTAATTGTGATTGGGTATATTCAATAGAATACCCTCACGTAAGTAATATTTTTATATATATATATATATATATATATATATATATATATATATATATATATATATATATATATATATATATATATCAATAAAAATAAGTGTACGCGACTACTGAGTAGGTACATTGTGTATTTTAAATCATAATGATTGATATTGCTGGCATTTGATGATCTTTTGAATAAATTATGACCATTAGTATATAACTCAGTACCTACCTATATTTAAAAAAAAAATATTTATATAATTGATTACCTTGGCTTTCACAAATATTGTTAAATGGCGTGAAAAATTGTAGTAACAGTAAATAAATCAAATAATGGACACTTTGATTCGATGGCCCGAATTTAAAATTTTATTAAATACCTAAAAAAGCCCTTAATCATTAAAGTTGAATAATATTACGCATTCTCAAAAAACTGCATTAAGCATTACTGTATAATGATATCTGGTATTTTTGTAATTAAATAACTTTAGAATGTCAAGTAAGTAGTAACTATAGTGGTCGTTTCTCAGAAAAAGAACCCTTACAGGATATTAATTTGAATTAATCTAGTAGATATTCCTTCTTTGGGATTTGTTACAAAGTACAAATGTACAACGCAAATCAAATGAAATTAATTGTTTGTTACCGCGATAAATATTTAATATGATGTTAATACGAGTATGAGACTTGATTAATGGAATGCATTGTAGATAATGGGACCTATTTCTTACAAAGCACTTGATATAAATTACGAAAATTGCAGGACATAAGGTTTGTTACAATGTTCAAAATTACATACCTTGTTATGCCCAGAGAAGTTTGTAATAGATATAGAGATAGATTCAAAGTTTTAAAAGATATTGGAGGGTCAAAGTTCTTGTTTAAATGTGTAAAGAAATACCATCTTCACACTGGGTCCTTTATAGAATAAACAGCAATGTGCAAATACCAAAGATTCACTGTCTCGTCTCTTGTGTTGTCCGTTTTTCACTTTACCCCACCCTTATATAGAAGGTATTTATATTAAATTCCATGCAATGATAAATAAGTATTAATAAAAATAATATGTAGGTTGGCAGAGGCGGCGGAGGGAAACCTCGTGCATCGAGCGTGTTCTCTTCAAAATCGTCGCTGGGCTACCGGCCACCGCCGCCGGTCGGGGTACCTGTCACCTCGCCGCTCACCTCACCAGAAACTGCCAGGACCTACCTCTTTCAGGGACTCATTGGTGATTATTGAAAATATGTTTACTCGTACCTTTGTTTAAATGTTTAAGGTTCACTTTTGTGTAGCACATAAGTACAGAAGGAAACTAAAATAATGCTACAATATTGTTATAATGCCACCTAGCTTCACTATATTATTTTGATGAATTTAAGTAAATATTTTCTATTTAATGTTATTTTATTTATCTCATTATTTTTAGGCAAAGAGAGATCAAACTTATGGGACCAAATGCAATTTTGGGAAGATGCTTTTTTGGATGCCGTCAGTCAAGAGCGAGACATGATCGGCATGGACCAAGGTGCGAATGAGATGATGGAGAGGTACAAGTGTTTGAGCGAGACAGAGAGGAAACGTCTCGAGCACGAGGAGGACAGACTATTGTCCACTGCGTTATATAATTTGACAGCGGCTATGGTACTGTTCGGTGTAGATGCTGATATCGTACGCAATAAAGTGCGAAGACTGCTAGCCAAGAGTCATATCGGACTAGTGTACAGCCAGGAAGTCAACCATCTACTCGACGTTGTTCATACTTTGGTGAGTTTTCATATTTATTATTTTGCTTTAACTAAGAGTTATTTATTATCTACTTACTATAAAATTATTAGTCAGTAGCTTAGTATTTCATTTAAAATGTTATAAACAATACTTTATAGAAAAAAAAATATATAATCACGAAAAAAAAAATGTATGCGATATATATGTTATATATATATATATATATATATATATATATATATATATATATATATATATATATATATATATATATATATATATATATATATATATATATATATATATATATATATATATATAAGTATTTGTAAGAATGGTAACCTCGCCTGACGGTAATGGTACCCTGTCAGATGGCGGGGCACCAGTGAGGGATGATAGTGAGAATTAAAAGACAATCGTTAGCTCATCGTAACGAATATAGTTGGTGTTCAGAACCATTGTTCCAATCAGAATAATAAAGATGGATTTGTTATCGAAATGACAGGGTAGTATAAGGTCGACCAGCAATACGACTAGCAGTCAGCATTATTAACGATCGCTCCCCGCCCTGCATCAATCCTTCCATGTAATCCCACTTATATTATAAATGTAAAATTTTATAAAGATGTTTGAATGTTTTTTACTCGATCACGATTTGTATGTTTGGTATACGGGTAGGTTACATCCTAACTCAACACTTTATGTACTTGATTCCGCGGCCACAGCCACAGGAAACAGCTAGTGTAGTATCTAATAGCATGTGTATGTGATTGGTTGGTGTGACGCACGGTGCAGCACGGCAACGACATCTCGCTGAAGCCGCTGGGCTCGCGGCTGCTGCGGCGCGCGTCGTTCACGGTGCACGAGGCGGACGCGGCCGGCGAGCTGCGATTCATGGAGGTGCGCGACGACGGCCTCGTGCTGCGCTCCACGCAAGGTGCGGCTGTACCACACGCCCCACGCCCGCGCCCCACGCCCCACGCCCCACGCCCCACGCCCCACGCCCCACGCCCCAAGCCCCACGCCCAAAGCCCCAAGCCCCAAGCCTCAAGTCCCAAGTCAAGCCTCACGCCCCACGCCCCACGCCCCACGCCCCACGCCCCACGCCCCACGCCCCACGCCCCACGCCCCCCTAAACACATAACATCTGATCCCCTCGCACCAGAATACTGTCTTCCGCGGTCCCATAAACTTCTAGATAGTGATCTACAATTAAAAGATATAGACTCTGGTTATATGTGTATATATTCCTTATTGTAGTGACGCTATTAGAACTTCAGTAGAGTCTAGTAAACGAATCCTTGAACGAACTGTTTACTTTTAAACCATTCCGAGCAAAACTTATATTATTGTATATTTTGAGTAATAGTAATTTCAATTCGGTTGTATTTTTATTTTATTTTATTAAATAGTCTTTATATATGTAGCTACCTACCTATACCTACCTACTCATACTTGGAAATTTTTTATAGAAATAAAAATCGTTGATCTTGCAAATTTCTAGATTAAAAATTAGTAATTGGATATTTACTTTACATGTATTCACGTCGTTTACAAAACAATTAAAAAAATATACATTTCAATTTTCAGGAACAATCGTGGAAAGGTGGTGGTACGAGAGACTAGTCAATATGACGTACAGTCCTAAAATACGAGTATTGTGCCTTTGGAGGAAGTGTGGTGGTCAAACGCAGTTACATAAATATTATACTAAAAAGGTATATATAAGAAGTAGTTGCTTCCATTATAAGCATATTGATATTTGTTTTATTATATTATAAAATATATGCAAAAAAAAAATGCTTTTTTACGATGAACTATGACTATTTTTAGACGGCTATAATTATTTTTCCTTCTTTACTTTCCTGTCATCTATTATCTTAGTTTTCATACAAAATTATTTACAAAATGCAACTTTATTTCGTCTTTCTTTCTTTCTATATTAATATTGTCACTAACACTATTTCGTGTTTCTTGTATTTTCTCATGTAATATTGAGCTAATAGTAATCAAATATTTAGATCTTTCTCCAGTGTTACTTGTATACAATTTAATTAATAATAATTCAATATTTATATCTTTCTCCACTCATTAAACATTCATATAATCTTGATTTTGGTCCATTAGAATGAAGCAAACAGTCTGAGAAATTGAATTTGTGTTAATATTGCAGTGCAAAGCACTGTATTATTGCATCAAGGAGGCGATGGAGAAGAGTGGGCGTCGACAGGACGCGGCCGAGCTCGGCGGAGAGTTCCCCATACAGGATTGCGCCACGGGCGAGGGTGGCCTTATACAGGTACTATATCATTCCAAACCTACCTGCCTGCATTCCACTGACAAGCTTACAACAATAAAAGTACTTTTTGCTACGCAAGAAATTATTTTGCCAAAAACAAACTATTAAAAAATATTATAGCCACCTTTGCTCGGGGTGATAAAAGGATTTTAACGATACCCCATACATCCACATCGGCACATTAGAAGTTAGGGTGAAATCAAGAAACTCACATATGTGAGTACATGAACTCCGAAAACAATGCACTCCTTTTTTGGTCAGCCGTGTAAAAGTTAATATAAAAGTTAATATTGGAGATAAACCAAGCAACTCTATGTATAGTACAGTATTTTGATATAATTTGAAAAGGTACACGTTGTTTAAATTTCACGAAAAGCAAATATACTTATTTCAAAAATTTCTTAAGTATTCAATAATTATTTTCTGAAATTGACACAAAATAGTAATATAAACTAAGCTTGAAGTCGCCTGAAAAGACAAAACAGAACTGTTATGATATAGGTTAATTAAAATTACGCAACAGATATATCTTTAATGTATATGTATTTTCTCTCGTGCAATTTATTTGAATTAATATTATAAAAATAATTTATAATATTGTTTTTTAATCCAAAGGTTTATTTATGTAAGTTTAGTCTTATGTACTACGAGAATATTCTTAGTTATAAATAGTATTGAAAGTTTAACCTATATATTGATACTAAGCTGGTAACTGTTATTATTTGGTAGTGTTATATACGATCGGCTTAGAATAAATTAATATAAGACAACTATGACACATATTATAGACTTGAATAACTCGTATCTCTATTTGGACACTTAACTGTTAATAGTTTATTATTTTGTAACCATATTATAAGTCAATATATTGATGTTTAATATAACATGAAAATTGGTGTAAATTGTGCTTACTTGTTTACGTAATATATATTCATAATTTATTACTAATATTTTTAAGGTGTGCATGGAAGGCGTCGGTCTTCTGTTCCACCACAGCAAGGTATGTCCCAATGCTTTCACTGTGTTTTTATAACTTTTTGTCGGCTTATTTATATTATTGTGATAATATACCAAAACAGTTTTGATAATAATATTATCAAAGGATATAATCGTTTGCTACATTTGTAAGTCCGTGCCGTTTTGGTATACTCATGATAATGATATATTGATCAGGTAAGGTGTCTGTCAGTGTCTCCGCTTCATTTGGAAAGTCTCGATATGATTGACCGATACCAGTAGAGTGCCGTACAGCGGTAGACGCACCTGTACGCCAATCTACGGCACCGGCGCGGTACCATGTCCCGGGCCGGGCAACGCTTCATTGTCTCAGTATTGTATCGGTGCCGTTAGCGCATTGTTATACATTAACGAAGCTTCTCATCCGACGATGACATTGAAACCTAATTATATCTCACTACATACAGGGGATACGTGCTATAAGTTACATATTGTTGAGTTACTTGTGCTGTAACATACTCGTATCACGGCACCACTCAAAAAGCTGCCAGATCGATCCCCCACATATTATATATTCTCATAACGAATTGGTTTATAAAACCTTTTAAATATACAATAATTATAATAATAATAATAATATTATACCCGTATGCAAGGACCACTCAAACTTTCCTATTTCAGTTCAAATTCTTCAACATTATACGATTACCTAAATTTTATCCGATAAGTACATATATGTATTTCTATACATTTTATTTCTTTTATAATAGTATCGTCTCCGAACGATTTTGCATTTTCTCTAATAATTTTAATTATCGAGTATAGCTTATGTCGAATCAAAATCCAGTATTTTGCCCTTTAATATCTTTCTATTACTAATTCGATGTAATAGCTTAGTTTTTTTACATTTAAGGTAACCGTTGTCTATCTGATTTACGTATATCTAATCCATACAATTTGTGCATGTGCTATTTGTCTGCCATACCCGTATACCGCTGGAGTGTGTGGGCGCCAGTGCCGGAGCGTCGCTCCGCTAGGAACTTTTGAGATGGTCCTTGACACGCGCTCGGCCGCCCTCTACTAATCTCTTCTTTTTGTCTGTTCTACTCTTTCCGGATACGCCGAACCCGCTGCGCTAAAGGATTTCGAGGTACACAGTGGTTCATTCACTAGTAATGGCGACCTTTACGACCTTTATGATCTCTGTCACGGTCACCGTGAGACGCGCTATTAGCGATGATCGTTCGAGGTCGTAGGGCTTTACTTGTAGTTTTGAGGCTTACCGATTGTTTTTAGCCGTTGTTAGCGTTGTATTAGTTCTCCCGAGTGCGGCGAGCGCCGAAGCGCGCGGTCGTGCATGCACATAGACGCCCTTTGTTTATTATCTGTTTATATAATCGCACCCGACAGCTTGCATTCGTTATCGTGGATCGTCCGGCGAGCGGTCTCGATATTTCGCTCTCACACATTGTGTTGAGGTTTAGTTCGTTCGTCCCTTATCACCCGGAGCCCGAGCGAGCGTCACGTCAGCGCTAAAGCTTTACGGACGCAAGTCACGAGGTCAGTCGTAGAGCATTCGCCATCTCACAAGTTCTGGTGTGGCCCCGGGCCAGTCGCGCACGCCCCTCACCCCGCACCCGACCTCGCAACCCTGCACCACCTCGCTGCCCGCACCCACCACCTATCCTTGCGCCTCTACCTCAACTCCGCAGCCCGCGTCCTCGCGTGGTTCTCCCCATCCTGCACCTAAACCTAGCATCTTCTATAAGCCCGCATCTCATAATCTTTCCTCACTTGCACTCCCCGCGCACCTCGCCTCACTTCGCCGCGCCGCCGTCGCCTTGCTCCACCCTCCTGTTCATTGCCGAATCTCTGGATATACAGAAATTCAACTTTTATTTACTTTCGGTATTAAAAGCTGCCGACGAGTGCGTTGAATTTTTGTTCGTCAAATACATAATATTGTGGTGAGCTAGCTACGTTTCGATACATTGGGTTAAATAAAAAATTACAGAGGATTTATATACTGCTTAATAACAAGTACATATGTAACATTGTATCGAAATTTAGCTTTTATATCGCTGCCCGTATCGCATTGGAGCATGAAGCATGCTTAATATTTTTTATAGAGCATAGGGCAGTAGGCCGATGCATGTCTTTTTATGATGTTCTAGTTTGATATGATAATTTAAATTTATAAAATTAAAGCATCTAATTTGAATAAGTGAACAGTACCATATTATATACCTACTTATGTATTAATACAATTTAATTACATAAAATTAGCATTAATACATACATACTTACATAATAATGATGCTATACATGATAAACTTATACAAATTTAATCTTTGTATTTATGGAATTTTAAGGAATTCTTAAATATGAAATTTGGCGTAATTTAAACCGAATTTGTCAGATTCAATACTTTCTGTATTATGTAAAGAATTAATCAATATAATTAAATAGTTATGGAATTAAAAACAAATAAGAGTTATTTATATTTGAATTATTTTTGACGAAATATAAATAATAGTAAATATAAATTCTTCTACAAATTTTTATGGCAATGCATGATGCTTTGTATATTTTTGCATGATCTGTTTAACATGTCGAATAATGTTGATGTTAATGTTAATGAATATGTACCGCCGACCGGCGAGTTGTGGAGTGTTGGCTGTGTTCCCTTACTAGAAATGTATCTTCCTACTTATATGAACTAATAATAGTTGTAGTACAGTCTAATTTAATTATAAATTTAAATACAGTCAATGCTAAATAATAATGACTGCTACTCTTATTAAAATTAATACGTAAACAATTTGACGACCCCCATAATCTAATTAAAATGTAATGGTAGGTAATTAAATATATTATAGATATAACAAGAATGTACATATACGTGTATATATGTATTATAAATTGTCTGAATAATTTATTTCACATTTTATTTGTAAAGACACTAAAGTACAAAAATAAACGGACGCTGTACCTATGTAGGCATCTTTATAAGCACATATTTTGATATGTTTATATTTAATGATTTCGTATACCGATTTATTCTTACATATTTTTTTTTTAAATTGCAGTTCTTTGTGCGGCTCGATCACATTCGAAAATGCTTCACACAGAACGGAGGTATCTTCGTTTTAGAAGAATTTAGTAAGTATATATTTTATTACTGATTACAACTAATATATTTTACTCATTTGTTTTAACATTTAGGTAAGATTATTAATTTATGATGACATGTTCAAAATTGTGCGTCTACAAAAATTCGAAGTGAGAGCGAGATTCATCATATTTTCTCGCATTTAAATTTAATCAGTCCTATGTATTTACACGTTTTCCTTTAAATGATTACCGTCGGTTTTATAATTTTTACCATAGAAGGGCAAGACAAAATGTACTATTGTTTCTTAGTATTGTTTATTTATTTCTTTAACACCAAAAGCATATTGTAATGTGACTTAAAAGTACTTAAATTATAGAAGTGACGCGTTTCGGTCTCTACACACGATATTTTACGATAACGTTATTTTACATTTTATTCTATGATATAGTGTAAAATATGATATCTATTTTTAAATTTCTATCTATTTGTCTAATTTCCATGCTGCATTTTGTTCATAAATTGACGTCTTATGTAACTTTTACTGTAAAATTTGTTTATTTTTTCTTCAGATCCGAAAACCAGACAAATACTACAGAGGAAGTACAAATCTATTATGGCAAGTATTACAAATCTTTTATAAAATATAAGCATCCTTTTTATGTTTATAATTGTTTTTGTTTTATTCATTTACTCTCGTGTCTTATGTTGTAGGCAGAGAAAGTAGTGCTTGACCTTCACCGTTTCTTCTCCATATGGCTTTCTCGGTACTTTGTCGAGACCCATGGAACTCAACTGCATTATGCACCTTACGTTTCATAGCCCCTACGGATGTATGTACTGTCAAATTATTATTTTTATTTTGCATGACATTTCCTTCTAACGCTTTATTTGTTTAACTGTTTATATATTTATTTTTATTTTAATACAATTCCGTCTACTTTTTGTCAAATTTTACTAAACATATACTTATTTAACATATGCTTTTGTAAACATTCGGGAATAGTTATACTACCTATTCCTATCATCTGTTTTCTGCACAGTCATGATTTACAGATATAACACAAAGGCTAATGCAGCTCAGCAGAGCTTACGCAAATCTATTAGTAATGGGAATTAGAAGTGACAGTTGCTTTTAAATATCATTACAAATATTCGCTATTTATTGGGTTAATATATAATTTTAATTCCTTTATCGTTAGTAAATAGAACATTTAACCAATCAACCAGTGATGAAAGGCTGATTTTAATTGTTCTTCGGTCTAGTCGAGAAGCGAATAATTTCGTAGAAGTTTAGCTTCATTTATAAGATGGCGGGCCTCTGCTATTTAGGTGATTTTTTATTTATAATCCCTTCGTGTACTTTACCTTTTTTATTTACCGAGAAGCTGCAAGACATCTAATTGTATTGAGTAACAAAGGTAAGTATGGAACTAGTGCGGTCTTTGACCTAAGAAACAATAAATTTGCTCCTCGAAATTATAGACAATTATCTACAATCGGAAAGTGGTAACCGATGTCTATAGACATGAACAGAGTACCATGGACATACAAGAATATTTAATAATTTAATATAAGATTATTATTTGATGTATGGTATTATTTGTGTCTGTTAACACAGTATAAGTAATAGTGTTAAATAAGGTACGTAAATACGTAACTAAGATAACTAAGTATTGGCACTCCCTGCCGCCCTCTAGGATCTGACCACACCACCTCTAAAATACACTTCAGCGCCCAAGCTCTAATTAATGTCTCTAGTTTACGCTTCAGTTGCCGCTGTTGTCAGAGAAGGACAGACAGTGCAATGTTTACGAAGTATAAAGAAAGTAACTAGCTAGTCTCAATTAGTATAAATTTTTATCGAAATCCAGAGTTATTTAAAATACGAATACGACTATTGTTACGTTGAAATTTATTTGGAAGATTTATTTATTTCGGCCAATTAGACAACTAACAAAATAATAATATACTTAGGCCACCTGATTAGAAATCATAACTTTGTCTCGTAGACATGTTATGGTTTCATGAGTGTCACAATATCTACATATCATAATATAGGTACTAGGGGGGAAACGGATTGTTAGTAATGCGGACTATCAGTCCCATTGCTAGCAATATGCCCTATTAGGTCAACCTCCACGTGGTCCCCCTTAGAAACCATCGTGCTAAATTCCAGGTGTATCCCTCACTGGTGTCCCGCCTGCGTTAACGGTATACGCTGGCGGGACACCAGTGAGGGATGATATTACGATTCCATTATCATCTATTAAAAATATATATAGGTACTGTGACACTCATGACACTACTCATAAATTGCTATTACTGAGAAATAAGTTGATATGCATTAATATAAAAATATTTGTACAAGTGAATAGTAACAGTGATCTAAAATTTTAAATAAACTTTTGTATATTTTATAAAGATTTGATGAATTATATTGCAATGAACACTGTGCAGCTTTTTCAAAGCACATCCAACAATATACCGAAGGGCGCTCGATTTTTCCCACGCTATCCCTAACAACTGCTACTGCTATAAGGAATGGTTCCATACTTTATGGCAGTCTATGGAGGTAGCTTATGTTCAGCAGTGGACAGATAACGGTAATTGAAGCTGATTCTGTAGTGCCATTTGTCTAAATTTATCTCTTAACCTATTTTAATTTGATAATTTTGCGAAATTACTGTGGTATCAAATTAAAATTTCAATTTTAGAGATCAGAATCGACTCCATTGTTTTTTTAATTGTAAGACATATCATGGCGTTTTTGTATGGAGTCCGAGGTGGGCTAGAACCCCCCCTCCCCACCCGCAACAAAGCTGACTTTAAATCTACACCCAGTAAACGTAGTGGAAAATGCAAAAATTAAATACAAAAACATTACAAATAAGTATTAAATACAAAAACAGAACAATATTGATATAAATAAATAAAAATAATATATAGAATGATTGTAAGAAAAGTTATCGTTGAAATTTCTGCCTCATAAGTATTCAAAATTGCATGTTATTGCATTTTAAGTACGCTATATTTTTATAATAAGCCCTATTTTTTTTAAATATTACCTTTTGTAAGATAATAATAGATTTTTTTCTATTTTAAAACTCAGGACAGATATTTTGTCAAAAAGTTGTTACAATGCTTTCCTTTGGTTATTTATCTTGGCTTGTATTTTGTAGTTTACATTATTTTACAAAAGACAGGCACATTCACATCAATTTAATACGTGTTGTGTAAGTAGGTAGTACAGAAAATGTATGGAACCAAAATGAAAGTTATAAAACCTGGCTGTTTATTAACCTCTAGTAGGTTTTTTTTAATAGATGAAGAGGGAATGGTACGCCCGTCTATGTTAACAGTATACAAATGTGCAGAATGAAACAATAAGAATGAAGTCAGGTCAGTTGGTGCATTGTAGCAAATTCACACAAATTACTCACGATGGTTTCCAGAGGGGACCGCGTGGAGGTCGTCCTAATAAGGTATATGATTAGTAATGGGGACTAAAATTTCCATTACTAACAATGTCCAGCCCCCCCCCCCCCTCCCAATTAAAATCCGTAAGTATTTGACAGTTCATGGCCAACAAATTTGTACCCTTAGAATGAGAAGAAAAAGTAATAATTAACATGGATCTAGTTGAATCTCACCTATCACATTTGATTTGCATTGTATAATCTGTCAAACCCTTTGGTCTACATGTTTCGATCAAAGATCCGTACATATACACACACGGAAAATATTACCCTCTAATTTTCGATAATTTTCACCCGTCTGGGTAAAAAGTATCTGCGCATGACCCGTTCACATAATTTAAATTGTCTATGACGTGTGATTTGTGTTTCAGGCTGACCAAATATGTTATGCTGTGCTATGCGTGTTCTCGTACTTCGCGGCCGGCCACGAGCAGAAGAAAGCGATCCTCGAGCAGGCGGCGCGGGTGCCTCCTGCCTCGCCCGCTGCGCTTGCGCCCGTCTCGCCCTCTTCGCACTCGCAACGAAGCCCCAAGGCTGACTTTGAAGTGGTCTCGCCCAAAAAAAAGACTAGTCCGCAGGTAAAATTATGAAGTTTACTATTTCGACCTTGACTCTCTAAATGTGTACACTATTGTAATTTTTTGTAGTTAATTTGAGATGTAGATTCAGTTAACATTTGACACTTGAAACAGAATAAACACATCCCAAAGACCATCTAATTATACGTATTTATTAATTGCAGATTTTAAAGGTATGACGATAATTAAAAGTTGTTTAATTATCCATGCACAGATTTACTACAGAATATCTATTGGCCTTATAATTCACATTTTTAAGTTACAGTTTAAATTGCAAAGTTTTAAACGTAACAGGTAGAAAAGAGGTCCCCGGTGAGCCGTGCGGGTGAAGCCAGAGCATCATTTGCAAAAAGTGAAGGTGGCGCGCTCACAGAGTCGAGAGAGGTGACGCCAAGTGTCGCGGGGACGGCGGCAAGTATCGCGGGGCCGCCGGCGTGTGCCACGGGGCCGGCAGCCGGTGTCGCGGGGCCGGCGGCAGGGCCGGGGGCGGTGGCGGGGGCGGGGCCGGCGGAGGGCGGGCAGGCGCACGCGGCGCTGTCCCGTGCGGGGAGCGCGCCGCCGCGCCGGCCGCCGCCGCCCGCGCCGCTGCAGCAGCGGCTCGCACGCGCACACTCGCAAGCCGCCCCGCCGCGCCCCCTCGACCCTCCACTGGTGCGTACCTGCTGTTACCATACTACTGCTTATGCTAATCAATATTATTATTATTCGATTACAAATCTATGTAACGATCTCACAATATTAGAATATTATTCATATTTCAATAATGCTTCTATATGTATTTATTTTTAATTATATAATTTTTTGTCAACTTATCAATCATCAAATAACAGGACTTTTCGCTTTGCAGATACCACCGCGCACTGGTGCCGGGGGCGGGGCAGCGGGGGCGGGCGGCAGTCGACCGGTCGGACCGCCGCCCGCCCTGCCGCCGCGACAGATGTCCGTTGCGGCCGACTTCAGTGCATTCAGCAAGTATGTCTAAAGATACATACGTACATTTTTTAAAGTTGAATTAAACCAAGCCTAGTACTTAGTCGAGCTGTTCTTATACAGTCGTAAAGGGTATACCTAGCTGAATCCCAAGTACCTCCGGACACTTCATAACAAAAAACAAGATCTGTATCTGTCAAAACTACAGAAAATAGTAACGTCTGTAAATGTGACAATGTGTGTGTGTGTGTGTAGTTACAACTAGAGCGCGAAAATAGAGTTTGTATGCTGACGTGTATTTGTAAGGGGGTGACGTCAGATCACAGTGGGCGAAAGGGTGTGTCCATACTGTACTTTAGTACTATTTTTTATATTGTGCTCCAAAGAACAAGTTCAAAATCTCAAAATACCTTGAAATTTCCATACAAGTAACGTGATAGATGAGTATGAGTGGTTGAAAAAAAAACATAAAAGTATAAAGTGCAATTTTTTAGCTTTGTCACCTGTTACCTGCCGAAGCCCCGATGATCTAAACTACATACTCCCTAATTATTCTTACCTGTGTTAGGGACATGCGCTGAGAAATTTTCAGCTTTTATAATGAAGATCTGTCCGTCGCGGCTTTTTGCTTTATATATGTGGTCGTAAAGAATAGTATATGGAAACGCAGAGCGGGCGGCAGCGCGAACTCGAGCCCCGCGCGACGGCCGCCAGCCCGACAGGCGTCCACGGGCGGCCCGGGCGGTCCGGGCGGTCCGAGCGGCCTGGGCGGCTCGAGCGGCCCGAGCGCAGCATTCGCGCCGACCAACCCGTTCACGACGCCGCGCCACCACGCCGAGTTCGTCATCCCGCAACGCACCAACGTTCGCCGCTCATCCACCACTGACCGGAATTAGTATCCCCGTCATACCTCGAAACCCTATAGGTACCTTTTACAAAATGTGATAATAATACATATAGATACATAATGCGATCAAAGGAAGAATAGGACTGCCTTTTCGCCATATTGTATTGTTTTAGTTGTCAAAATGATTAAGTAAAATTATAACACTATGTTACTTAGTTAAATAATATAGAAAGATATATATGTAAAATATTTTTTGTGCAAGCTAATGCAAACAGTACTTTTCAAAGTTGGTGGGTAGAGGTAAATGACGTTCCTATTCTTATATCGATCGCATCGTACGCCGGCACCGATGTATATGTACATAAATATATATATATTTTTCTTACTAAGCCTATTTAATAAATAATTCTGGCACCTCTGTTTTATTCTAAAATAAAATGAATAAATTATGTTTTTGTGTTATCTATATATGAATATTTTAATTTTTTTGTCTCATTTTAGATAACTCTTCGATATATGACACACCAACATTGTTTACTAAGTATACTGAGTAAGAAAAACATAAAGAACGGCATGTTCCGTTCGTTTTATCGCGGTGCCCTTTAGTATTAATGATAATAAAAATGTCTGTGTTCCTTAATTACTGTCTCTGCAATAATCATATTACTTATATGCTCGATGTCCAATGGTACCTATGCGATTTAGAAAAAAAATGTATCCTATTTTTGACGTTCTGTAGGTATCACCAGTTGTATTTATTTATATTTAGCATTGAACGTTTTGAGAATATAAAATTGCATAATATGGTTAAGACGAGTATACCTATACTAAATGCTAATTTGTTTTATATAACAATATTTAATACAAACTGTACTTCTTTATGACGTAACAACAGCGCACAACCGCCTCAACTTGTTGGTTACGTAGGTAAACACGAAATAACGAATTATTTTGTAAAAATGTATGTCCGAAATCTACCAGTGACATTAATTAATTTTGTTATTGTATCTATTCCTGATCAAATTATAGTACAACTATAATATAGTTATTAAAAGCATTTCGATAGGCAATTTGAAAAAATTAGAGGCAAGCTGATTTTTGCATGAATCTTCCTATTATGATTGTACACAAAATATCAAAAATTCTCACAATTATATTTATACATAAAATATTTTTATTTATTTATTTATTTATTTAAGTACACTTTATTGCACCAAATAAAAAGAGAAATAACAAATACAGTAAATATTAATGAGAAGTGATACAAAAGGCCTTATCGCTAAGCAATCTCTTCCAGACAACCTTTGGGTAGAGGACATTGAGAAAAAGACAAAGAGTAGGTGGCGCACTATTATATAAATATTATCATATACAAACATATATAGATACATACATACATATATACACATACATATATAATATATACACAATTAAATATATACATAACATACATACATACATACACATACATATATAATATATACACAATTAAATATATACATAACATACACATACTTAACAGCATACATACAACAGAAAAAAATGCCGAAGGAAAACGAAGAGAGAACACAGGAAAATAGTACTAAAGTGAGAGGTAGTAAGATTTAACAGAGGTTTTGAAGCTAGTAAGAGTTTGAGCGCACCGAATAGAGGTAGGTAGTGAGTTCCATAGACGAACTGCCTGAACAGTAAAGGATTTAGAATAAAAGGAAGAAGAATGAGTGGGAAATTTAAGTCGGAGGTTATTGACACTGCGTAAAGTATGATCATTAGCCTCACTGAGAAACAAGAATCGGTCTTTTAGATAATCAGGAGCAGCAGGATTAAAAAGGATTGTCTAAAGAAGAGACAGGATATGCAGATTACGACGAAAACGGATAGAGAGCCACTTGAGTTGAGTACGAAATTGAGAAATGTGATCATATTTGCGAAGACCAAATATGAAGCGGATACATAAATTTTGGAGACGCTCAAGCTTGTTTAATTGCTCTTCGGTGAGGTCTAAATAACATGAGTCGGCATAATCAAGAATGGGTAGGAGTAAGGTGTGTGCGAGCGCAATTTTGGTGTTAACTGGGAGGAAATTACGTAGTCTATTTAAGGCAAAAGTTGCAGCAAACATTTTTTTACTGACCTCCGAGATTTGTGGAGACCATGACAAAGTATTATCAAAAATAATGCCAAGATTTTTTACTTTTTTCTGGTAATCTATCATAACCCCATCAAAAACCACAGGCGGAAGACTGGTCGAGGAAATTTTGGAAATAAGTATGGGACTCCCAATAATAATGGCTTGTGTCTTCAAGGGGTTTATAACAAGACCATGAGATTTACTCCAGGCAGATATACGTTCCAGATCGGCGTTAACAGTAGATATTGCTAAAGAGATATCAACCAGAGGGCTAAAGAGTAAATCTGTAAATCATCTGCATAAAAGGTGGTAGGAAGATTGAAGTTTCGAAGTGATAGGGCTAATAAATAAGGCAAATAGAAGAGGAGATAAGACGCCACCCTGCGGCACGCCAGCTGACGTATGGCACCAAGAAGATAAAACGTCATCAATGCGAATACGTTGCCGACGTCCAAACAGGTAACTACGAAACCAGTCAATTGCCGTTGGAGAGAGGTTAGCAATCCTAACAAAATATCAAAATCAACAGTATTAAAGGCATTGCTAAAGTCCAATAATGTTAAGACCGTTAATTGAGAATTCTCCATGCCAAAACGGATATCGTCAGAAATTTTAATAAGAGCAGTAGTCGTACTATGACCAGGACGGAAACCAGATTGAAGAGGAGTTAAGAGATTGTTTCTTGATAGGTAAAATTAAGTTTTTGTTGGACAAAGCGTTCTAAGGCTAATATTATTTATAAATGATAATTTTGAAGCTAAAAAATTTAAAATATTCTATAATTATAGTTTGGATGTTAAGTGATTGTTGATGCAAGTCTTCAATTAATTTGGATAATACATCATGGAATATCAAATAAAAATGTAATTAAATGATAACAATAATCGGTATCTAGAATATTAATACTGGATAATCTTGTGGTAGTTTCGTGTAAGATTTTAAGCTTCCTCTATTTTTTACAAGTTGAGGCCCTTTAAATTCGGCTTTATACTTATTTACTCTCTGAGCGTTAATTTATACAACAGACAAAAAATTGTTTAGAACAAAGCTACAAAAGTTTAGGTACAAATGAACTTATCATGGTCTAATTTTAGTGTTGTCATTGCCAACAATAATCGTTTTTCACACAAAACAATTGTGTGCATATATTGTTTGTATTAGAAATCTATATTTTATAGTAAA